AGAAGAGGAATATGGTGAGCTGGGGTTTCCCCAAGGAAGGCACGTGGTTAAAAATGGCCACAAGAAGTTACTGCTTTTGCAATCCAGCTTCTAACTTAATTGAAGCATTTACTCTCATATTCCTCTACCTCCTTCTTGCTTATCTCCTACACTCAGTTATTTGGGGTATGAAATACGTGTTTTTCCCCATCATCACCCTCAGCAGTCTGTCTGCCATCCTGTATCAAGAGGAGGGGCCGGGAAGGTTAGCTGCAGTAGTGAAAAGATGCAAGACGAGATATAGCAGCCTGCCTTTTCCTCGCAAACAACTTAAACTTGCTGTAACTAAAATAAAACATATGGATCCTGGTTCTGAAGAGCTGGTAGATTTTGGCTTATCTCTATCCATAGTTACAGCTAAGAACAAATAGCTCACCTAATTTGTACCTCTATCCCTTTTTTATTTGAGCAATAAAAATAAATCTCTTTAAGGAAAAATAGGGTGTTGAGGCCCCTGGGTGGCTTAGTTAAGCATCCAACTCTTGATTTAGGCACAAGTCATGAGCTCATGGTTCATGGGTTCAAACCCTAAATCAGGATCTACACTGAGCACAGAGTCTGCTTGGGATTCTCTTTCCCTCTCTCTCTGCCCCTCCCCCACTTACATGAACTCTCTCTCTATCAAAATAAATAAATAAACTTAAAAAAAGAAAAACAAAGTGTTAAATGTAGTATTTATCCAGGAAACAGTCTTTCAGAATACTGAAATTGATCTCCTATTTTGGCTAGTAATGTATTTAATGAGACAGTTGTACAATTCCGTAGTGTTCATGTGCCATAATTTAGTTTTCAGGCATTCCGTGACATCAGCTGCTAGATGGTACCAGCAGCCCCCCTGCGAAGGCCGGTTGCTGTTGTGGTTTTGGGGGTCTGTGCATCTCTTGAATTCAGATGCTTCCTGGAGGTGGGGGAAGGCACTTGATGACAAGGGCTGGGAGCATAGTCTCTAAAATGTTATCTCTTGGGTTTAAAATTTAAATTCAGACCCAGCTTCTCGTCTTGCCATTGTCAATGAACTTGTCACTCTGCCTGTGCACAGGCTGCCTTGAAAAGGCCTCCGGGAAGCCTTCCTGACCCTTTTGGCTCTCTCCCCTGTGCTACTTCTAATCTTATGCATGCCCTTTGGGGCATTTTCACTTTGTTTTGCATTTATTGTTTATGCATCTCTTTCCTCTAGTAAATTGAGATCTTCAAGGATAAGGGTCTGTGTCTTGTTCATCCCTAGTGGGGTGCCAGGTACAGAATAGGTTCTCAGTAAATTTTTCCCGAATTGGATTAAGTCAATGCCTTCATTAGGTAACTGCTGTGACTCTAAGCATAGCTGAGACAAATGTTTGGTCCAGGCACGTTCCATATGTGACCTTGTTCTCGATAAATTCTGGGCCTTCTTGCACATCTTATGTGCGTGTCGTAGGCACCTTGCATGTGACAACTATGCCAAGTGGGGCTCGGTTCTGTGGCTCTGATGAGGGCGTTGAGTTCAGATCACCACACTGATAGGCTCGGACGTGACTTAGGGTGATTATGTTGAAAGCAAACAAACAGAAATAGAGTCAGAAAACTACAAAGCCATAAAGAAGAAAGAGAACATTGAACCAGGATCTGGAATGGAAGCTAAGTAAAACAATTCAAGATACGGATATATTCAGATGGTCTCTTTGATGTGGTCACCTCCTGCCAAGAGTGTAGCTTTTGGAGGGGGCCTATGACGCAGGGAGGGAAGCAGAGGACTTTGTATGGGCCAGGGCAATGAGAAAAATCCTGGATCTCAAAATATAGTGGCCATGACCAGACCCTTATGGGTGATTGTGACTGGTAGCTCTACCCGCCCGGTAATCAAAAAAAAAAAGGAGAAATGGGGACACCTGGGGGACTCAGTCAAGTGTCCTACTCTTGATTTTGGCTCAGGTCATGCTCCCATGGTTCATGGGATTGAGCCCTGTCCTGGGTTCTGTGCTGACAGCATGGAACCTGCTTGGGATTCTTTCTCTTCTTCTCTCTCTCTGCCCCTCCCTGCTCATGGTTTTCCTCTCTCTCTCAAAATAAACAAACACTTAAAAAAAAAAAAAAGGAGAAATGTACTCTTATCGTGTGATAAAAAGAAACATACTGGTTCCTAGGGGCAAAAAGATCAAAACAAAACCTAAACCCTTTTTTGGTGGGGGTAGGGGAGGGGGAATCCAGATTTGTTCTATATGTGGCTGTGCCCTAGAAAGGTCGTGTGACCCTAGCTAGTCATTTGACTACTCTGGACCTTGATTTCCTGACCATTCAGGGATCTCTGACATCCCTTTCCACTCCAGCATTCCCTGGTCAGACAGTACTTCTAGAATCTCTCTGGATTACAATCCTGACACTGGGTCCAAAGGGCAGGGACAGCCACCCCGGAGCATTAGCAGTAAACTTAGGTGTTTTCCTTGTAGACTTGCCAACTTCCCAGCTTTGAGGCGTGCAGGACCAGCGAATGCTCATGGAAAGGTACCATGCTGCCCAAGTCAGCGCTAAACCACAGCGATCAGCACCATGCCATGCGGGCCGCCTCCACAGCTGAGGCCCCTGCAGAAAGCTGACTGCAGCAGCTGCCGAGATTCCCACAGCCGCAAACACCACCCCGGTTCCCGAGTAATCACTGCTGGGTTTCAGGAAGGGATTGCAGACCGCAGCGCTCAGGGAGGGAGGAGGAAGGAGGCTGCAGACATGGCCCAGAGTAGAGCTGAGGACACAGAGCCGAAGGGCGGGGCTCCAGGCTTCCAAAGCCCCAGTCACTGGACCCATTGCTTTTCAGTGGATTTGTGTTTTGCAGATTGATTTGAGGGAAACTGGTTTACTGCCACTCAGTGTTCTTCTCCCTCCCCCAGGTTCCTGTTCTAACAGATTCCTGTCTCCCTTTCTGTTATCAAAACTGACTGGGACCCAGCCTTTATCTGATAAGCCCATTCACACTGGGGTGTGAATAATTCACACGCTTTGGATTCTGCATTTAGTGGCGAACAAAATCTACAAGAGGAAAACACCCAACCGTGATTTCTAGACATTTGCATGGGGAAATGTTGCGTGAAAGGGCCCTCCCATCACCCCCCACCCACACACACAGCTTGCCAAGCCTGGCTGTGCTAACGTGCAAAGATTTGGCCTACTTCGCTCAGCATGGCTGGGGTGCAGGGAGGGCCTGATGGAATGGAAATTAGGCAAAGTTCCCTTTGGATCCCACTTCCTCTTTTTTTCTGATGCCTGGGGCACCTGTTGTATTTTGCCTGTTCAAGGCCCTGATGTAAAGAGTTTGAGATACCTTCTGTTCTCCCATCGGGAGGCACCTGTCTTAGGTCTCATTGTTTCAGTATTTCCTCCTTATTTCCTCTGCTGGTTTGAGCAAAGCAACAGAACTCACCTGTTAAGGATTAATGCACTATCACCCCCAGATTCGATATTTGTGTTTTTAATGGGAATCTCCTAATACTGACTGCGGAGACTCTAGTGCTAATGTGAGCAGCTGTGTCTTTTCCGTGAGCATTCACTGCTCCTGGATGCCCTGACACACAGGGAGCGTGGGGGTTTCAGGAACCCATGATGGGCTGCAGAGGTATTTGGGGAGAAGTCACACCGTCAGGAGCCAAGCTCCTCCATCATGGTGGTGAGGGTCTTTTTTATTAGCTAGAGCCTGCAGTGGCCCTGGGGCATCCCCTGAAAGGAAAGAACATGCTAGAACAGGGCTGACTGGAACAGCAGACAGGAAGGAATGAGACAAGAGGGAAGGGTTGCTGGTGGGCAAGGAGGAGGCGAGAAAGAAAACACAAAAGTAGGGCATGGGGAATGCTGATCGACTGAAATCGTTTTCCATATGGAGCCAAGATCTGTTCATCATTGGAAGTGAAATGAGTTCCGTCATATTGTCAGAATTATTTGTGGCTCTAAGGAGCACTCTTTGAAGTCAGCTTTTGCCAGAAAGTATCCAGGCAGCCAAGTGCAAGGATCGGAACACAGGGCGTGCAGGAATATGCAAAGTAAAACCTGAGCTAAGGCGGCTTTCTCTCCACCCTCGCCAGGTGTGGCGTCAACTTTCTGTGGCTGGTGAGAGATCTGCTTCTGTGGCTGGTGATGACTGGGCGTGAGCAGTGTTGGTTCTTGTATTTTAGTTTTTATCCCCTACAACTGAACCGTCAGACAAGCTTTGGCCACATTTGAAATGGCAAGGTAGCCAAGGGGCTATTTTACTACTGATTCTGGTGTCGAGGAAATCTAGCTGGGCAGCTGGTGGTGTTTAGTTCTCAGAAGACCCCATTTCAGAGTTTGTTATTCTACCAAATAAGCCTCTATCCCTACAAATGTCTAGGGTACACTGGTGTTGCCTTTTTATTTTTTAATTATTTTATTTTATTTTTTAAATTTATTTCTGAGAGAGAGACAGTGTGAGCAGAGGAGGGTCAGAGAGAGAGGGAGACACAGAATCTGAAACAGGCTCCAGGCTCTGAGCTGGCAGTCAGCACAGAGCCTGACGTGGGTCTCGAACCCACGAACCGTGAGATCATGACCTGAGCCAAAGTCGGACGCTTAACTAACCGAGGTGCCCCTGGTGTTACCTCTTTGCCTTTACTGATTGCTGCCATGAAAATTAGCTTCGGGGTGGGGGGTGCGGGGGGCTGAAGCTATACCACTTCAAGGAAGCTATTGCCAAAAGCCTGGCCAAGATCTGAACTTCAAGGTCACCCACTGGCTCTGTGAGAGCATCTCCACACTTAATATGGATACGAATCTGGGGAGTGGTGGTATCACTCTTGCCTGTTCTCCAGTCATCTGATGCTTCTATAGAAAAGGGCCCGTAGAGGCTGGACCGGCCCCACTCAGGGCACCTCCCGTTCTTCCCTTCTGGCTCTTCACACATCTCTTCACAGGGAAGGGGCGTCTAGAACAGAAGAATGCATAGTCCCCTAACCACACTCTTCCTGCCTCTCTGCTCTTTACAGAATGGGCTGAACGGCTTGCACCTGGCCTCTAAAGAAGGCCATGTGAAGATGGTGGTTGAACTTCTGCACAAAGAAATCATTCTAGAAACGACAACCAAGGTATGTCTCTTAGGTAGCGGGGAGCTTTTCATTGATAATTCAAGTATGTGGGTACCTCGTGTATCGTCCCAGACTCTGGCGTGGAAACCAGCCCTTCAGGAGAGAAAGCCAAGTGTGCTTTCTGAATTTCTCTTGTGCTTCCGATTGCTTCCTAGTTCTCTGCAAAGTCACCTGAAAGGCACAGGACCCTGTTTCCAGAAAAGAATCCATGGGCTTTTACTTTATTTTCATGGCTAGATTATAAATCTAGAAATAGAACCCTTTTCACTGTGGCTGTATGTTTTCTTAGAGTCCTTGACCCCAGTGCAGGGTCTGAGAGCCCTAGCATTTCCACAGTCAGGTGTCTTGGGTCCAGATCCCAGCGGAGATACTGTACGCTCTGTGACTCTGAGCCAGTTAGCTAGTGAGAAGTCTCCATTTCCTCATCTATAAAATGGGGACTGTCATACTTGGTCTCAGGATTCGTATGAAGATGCACTGAGATCGTGGGTGTCAAATGCCTGGCACGTAGGAAGGAATCAGTAAACACTGGTGACCACGTGGCTATTGAGGCATAGAAAAGAGAGCCAGACCCCGCCCCTTTATCCTTCCCCAGCGAGTCTTCCTTGGTCAGCCACACACTTACCTCCTCTCCTTACTGATTACCTTGAACAGCCTTCTCTTCCCAGAGGAGGCATCTGGCCAAGGCTGACGTCACACCTCCCACACCAGCAGGCTCTTGCCCATAGCCGTAGATTAGCAGCGCCAGTGACTTAAGATCAGAAACCACAGTCATGAAATTATGCATCTACAGGTTGTAAGATCCATTTTATTTCTTACATACATCCGTCTTGTTTATTTATTGAACAAGGTGTTGCCAGCATTTCAAAACAAAACTAAACCAAAAAACTCACCTCTGTCTACTAACTCCGGCACACCTTCCACTTCCTTCCTGCTTACTTCCCCTGGTTTTCTTCTTGGCTTTGTCCCTCCGGCCTTTTGCTTTTTGGTTGCTGTTTATTCAGTGTGCTCTCACATCCAGCGTCAATTTCAGTTCCGTGCCGCACACATTGGCCGCCTTTCCAGCAGAGAACCGAAGAACCATAAGTAGAGATATAATACACGGTTGTGAAGTGTGTTACCAAAATATTATGAAGCGGCCATCATCCCTTGAGGTAAAATTCTGTAATTTTCATGTCATTTCCCAAAGGTGAAAAGATCTCGCTGGTAAAATAGACTGAGACACATTCTTTCTGAATGTGTGTGGGGCATTTTTCCCCCTAACCTCACGACGAATACCAGCTGTTTCCATCTTCTTTGTGGACAAAGGGGAAGCAATTATTTTTCCTTCTGGCGCTCTCACCTACCTGGCTGCAAGCAGCGCGCCATCTGACGGGCTCCCCGTGGCCCGGGGTGGCTTTTCTTCCCCTGGCTCGGCCCCAAGAGCTGCGCAAACATGACACTTCAGCATTTTCGCGCTCTCTGAATTTCCCCCTTTGATTGTTATTTTGCAAGCGAATGCTTGGTGTGTCTTTGTTATTTATAGACATTTTATAAACCAGCGTGGTTCCTGAATGCCATACAGAGGGAAGGAAAAAGGTGAAGCAGAAACCGTGGGCTGAGCAAGAGTCATAGCAGATTGGGGAATTATAATGGGTCTTGTGAGCATGAGAGAGATTAAAAAAAGAAAAGAGTAAAAAGCCAAAGCCAATATAGTTTCCTAAATGTGCTTACACTTTTTTAAAGCACAAAACAAAAGCATTCTGCCCCCATCCTCCCTTCTCTGCCTCTTGGAGGCCCGCGTTCAGCATCCAGGCGGCTAGTGAAGGAGGAAGCCCTAATCTGTGTGTTTGCATCTACCAGGCTCCTGCCTCAAACCCCCTCCCTTCCAGGAGCTCTGGGACTCCCTGCAAAGGGGAGGAGGCAGGTCTTTGGGGACCAAATGCAGCTAAGAAATTTTTCTTTCTTCTTCAAGGCCAGTGTTCTTTCATGCAGAGGGAGGGGTGGAGAAAACAGAGGCCGCAACTCCTTGCCCTGTGCCCCTGACCCAAGGCCAGAGGCCTTCTTAAAACTTGCAGTGTATGCACGTGTGTGTAGGTGGGGGGGGGGGGGGAGGTCTGTTTACCAGGGTCCCCCCTTTGCTCTTACCCCTCACCAGGGCTGCCCTCAGCCCAGATCCAGAAGGTGGCCAGGGCCAGGGTCCACAGCCAGGGTTCTGCACGGGTCCAGCTGGGGTTTCTATGGGAGAGAGCTCTGATGGAGTGTGATTTCAGACAGAAAGAGGCAGATGGAAAGAAACATTTAACACTGCTTCTTGAGGCCAAGGAGCTTGAGTCTCAGTCTTCTCTACTCCCATGCCTGGCCCGGCGCCCGACACACAAGTGCGTGGCGTGTAACAAACACATGAATGGGCACAAGACATGTGCTTCTAAATGGGGAGACTTGGAGTTCTGAGTCCTGATTTCTAGAGAAGGTTCTGGTGCCAACGGCTGTGTTCCACTTGGTAGAGTGAGTGAGTCGGGCCCAGGTGCCAAGGCCTCTAAATGCAAGCTCTTTGGACTTCTATGAAAAATGATTAATTAGCCTCTATACATTCATTTCTGGCACTTATTCTCTGATGGATATTGGAGGAGGAACCCTTTTGTTTTTCAAAGGGGACTTCAGGAGAAATCAAGAAGACAACTTGGGAAGCAAGAAGCAGGTTACTCTTGCCTGATACAGGCCTCACTTGGGAAACAAAGACCTGAGCCCCCACCAGCCCCCAGGGGCTTTCAGTGGGGCTTCCTCACCCACCTGCAGGTGGGGCAGCCGTGGCTGGGGTGGGGGGGTGGGCACAGAGCTCGGTGCCTGTGCTGCTCAGTTCCGCCCGGGTGAGGACACTTTTCTCCCAGTGACAGATGGCCTCAGTGTGTACACGGAGTTTGAAGTCCTGACTTGTCAGGGCTTGAGTTGCCTGAGATGGATTAGCAAGGGTTTCTGTAGGTTAGGTAAATTATATACCATCTCAAGTGCAAAAAACTGAGTTCATTTGAGGTCTTCTTAAGTTGCAGGGTGGGGTTGGTTACAGATGGGCGCACATGGATCCCGTTTTCTCCCACCTGCCCCGTTTGACAGAAGCTGTCTGGTGGGGCCTGGCCTGCTTGCCTCTCACTGAGCTGGGGGGCCAGCAGGGTCATGTAGGTGAGTCAGAGAATGTGCCAGGACTTCCGGGAAGCAGGAAGGAAGAAACAGAAGAAGCCTGCTAGACCCAAACCCCATCTAGCACTTGTTAAATACCCAGAATGTATCGGGACAAGCAAACCTCAGTGTTCCAGCCACCTCCTCAGAACCTGCCTGGTTTCTTGGTCCCTACTAAGGGTTTTAGCTTTGAAAAAGTTTACGTTAAAAATTTTTAATGTTTATTTTTATTTTTATTGAGAGGGAGACACAGAATCCAAAGCAGGCTCCAGGCTCTGAGCTGTCAGCACAGAGCCAGACACGGGGCTTGAACTCACAAACTGTGAGATCATGACCTGGGCCGAAGTTGGATGCTTCACCGACTAAACCACGCTGGAGCCTGAAAAAGTTGATTTTAAAACAACTGTGCACTTTATTTTCTTCTAGTGTTTATTCCTGTGGCTTTTGTCTCCTCTCTAATCTGGGGAAGCCCTGGCTCATTATATATATTTTACTGACTAATATGTCAAATAGTCTTTTTTTTTTTTTTGTAGTTGTCTCTGCCAGATTCCATTATTTATTTCCCCCCTTTAATTCCATATTTTTCTTCCCTTCCCTACATGCATTATATAGTTCATTTTATTCCCCCCCAACCCCTTTACATATTGCTACACTTTCCCCTCTTGGCCTCTCCTCCTTCTGTCCCTGGGTTAAGGATGCTGAGTCCACGGACCGTGCTGGCCTCTTTCCCCAGAGCTCCAGGCCTTGAGGGGACCCTGCATCGTCCTGTAAAGTTCCAGCCAAGAGGAGCTGGAAGTCTGAGGAGGCCGGCTCGCCTGGCAAACCTTTCCGTGTGTGTCCTGAGGAATGCTGACGGGTCTGTCAGCTGATGACAGAATGCTATGTCTGCATGCAGCAGATTAGGTGTTGAGAAGTGGCTTTTTTATCCATTAGCATGATTTTTTTTTGGAGAGCGAGACAAATTTTCCTCCTTGGGCTTTCAGTACCGTTTCAAAGTGTATAATAGGTCAGGCACACTGATGTGTGTTGTCTATCTCTTTTGGGTCTAAAGAAAGCCCACCTTCCCCCACCCCAACCAGCACCCCTGTTAGTGTACCTTTAACGGTGACTTTACTTTTGATGGTCACAATATCGTTGGCAGCCTGATGAGAGATCTTCCCTGCTTCCTCTCCATGTGTGTTTCAGAAAGGGAACACGGCTCTGCACATCGCCGCCCTCGCTGGTCAGGACGAGGTGGTCCGGGAGCTGGTCAACTATGGTGCCAATGTCAACGCCCAGTCGCAGGTGATGGCTCTGTCCCGGGTCCCAGGCCAGAGGGCATTGTCCTTCTTTCCCATCTATATTTCTGTTTTGTAGCAGGGGCACTGAATAGCTTAATCGGCAATGTGTCTCCCAGCAGTAACAAAGGCATCCCTTATTATTTTTCATGCTTCTGTTGTGCATTCTAAGCCGATATGGGTCATCATTGCAGACCCCATCTCTGTTCAGTGAAACCAGCCAGATAATATATCTAGCTATGGCTCCTTTGGGGAGAGAGACTGTATTTAGTGGTGGGTGGGACATGGGGAGTTCACAAAGAAGGAGTGAAAATAGAGGGAGAGTGTGTGTGCAAGAGGTATAGAGTGCCCCCTCCTCTACCTGGTGGCTTTTGTAATAATCCCACTTCTTTTTTTTTTCTTTTTTTTAAATGTTTATTTATTTTTGAGAGAGAGAGAGACAGAGTACGAGCAGGGGAGGGGTAGAGAGAGAAGGAGACACAGAATCTGAAGCAGGCTCCAGGCTCAGAGCCGGCAGCACGGAGCCTGATGTGGGGCTGGAACTCACGAACCATGAGATCATGACCTGAGCCGAAGTCAGTTGCTTAACTAACTGAGCCACTCAGGCACCACCCCACCTCCCCCCAGTTAAGCCATTTCAAAGTGTCTGTGAGTTTTTGCAACAGGAGAAACTGGTGGGGACATGGCCCTGTGGGCCAGCTGAAAATACATGAAGAAAGAGTTGTTCTTCAGTGTGGAGGATTTTACCCCAAGTTTAGCATCTTTCCCTAATTTTATGGGTGAGCTTTAATGACTTTTTCTCTTGGTTTACAGAAAGGCTTTACACCCTTGTACATGGCAGCACAAGAGAATCACTTGGAAGTGGTTAAGTTTTTACTGGAAAATGGAGCTAATCAGAATGTGGCCACAGAAGTAAGTACCTTGGGCACATGGCCTCACTGTGAGACATTGCCGGGGACGTGCATTCCCAGGACTAGGCTTGAGACGCTTCCGCTTCCTCCTCCGGCATGGTCCGCAAAGTGTCACAGAGTGTTCTCCACCTTCTGATCACGGCACTCATCCTCGGTGCCAACGGGCTCTTCAGGGGAGTGAGGGACAGAGTCATGGGTCTTGAGGAATGCCCAGACCCATACCAGAGAGATAACATCAGAGTCAAGCTTGTCCTTCCCGCATTAAGCACCACTGGAGGCTGGACCTTAATGAGAAAGGATCCTGCCCCGAACCATGAGTCATTTCAGCTCTGATCCTGAGTTTTGTCACTGATGAAATGATGAAATTGAACTTGATAGAGCCAACAATTACATGACTTTGTTCCCCTGCTTTGCCAGTTCACGGGGTCCTGTGTGACCTCAGCACACAGCTGAGGGGATTAATAACAGTAGCTCACAATCAAATCCTCAGTGCCTGGCATAGATTCCAGCGTTTGGTAGGTGTTAGTAATAACGCGTGAAATGAATAAATGAATGATCCGCTGCCTGTTGAAGGCACTGGCCTAGCAGCAGTGGATCGGGTGATAGGGAGGGGAGGCAAAGAAACAGAGGGCAGTAAAAAGCCCTCGGGGCATGCAGTCAGACCAGGGAACAAGTTATAAAAGAATATTAATGGCTCTAGGGTCTGTGAGATTGCAGAGAAAAAAAAGTGGGGCCAAGACAAGCGTTAGGGAGCAGGTGGCATTTAAACTGAGCTTGACGGATGAAGAGGGCTTTGAATTGTAAGAAAGTCATTTCAGGCTGAGGGCTGGTCATGAGCAAGAGCCCTGAGGTGTGAAAGGGTGGGTCCTTCGTTGAGGACAGCGAGGAATCAGATACAGTCAACGCAAATGGATCTTTCCTCCTTTCCTCTGGCCAGGACGGCTTCACTCCTCTAGCCGTGGCTCTGCAGCAGGGCCACGAGAACGTGGTGGCACACCTCATCAACTACGGGACGAAGGGCAAGGTGCGCCTCCCGGCCCTGCACATCGCGGCCCGTAACGACGACACCCGGACAGCGGCGGTGCTCCTACAGAATGACCCCAACCCGGACGTGCTTTCCAAGGTGAGGACAGCCAGGCCCAGGAGGACCAGGAGAATTCTAGCACCTGGCCCACGGAGCCGTATGGCTTACAGAGGCACCATTAACCCCCACCAGTTCCCCAAGGATGAGCCGCGGCCGGAGATGGTCCCAGCCCTGCACACAGCACCAGCTCCGGCGGGGCCTCCAGATTCCCGTAGGGACCCGTGGGAGCCACAGGGGGCAGCCCCACCTGAAACCCCTGGTGGACACCAAGAGACATGTGCTCGGCGTGAAGCAGGAATGGTTCTTGTTGCTCTGGGTCATCCGGAGAAGTGCCCACGGCAGGCCGGGTCTCTGGCCGGAGCGAAAGTTGGGAATCTAGCGGGTGGTGTTCTAGAATTGATGCCCCTCTTTTCCTGGCTAGCCCCTGGTGGAGGAAGGGAGATATCCCCACATGGGGAGATAAGACCTGGGAGGGTTTCCCCGGGGCCTGACAGCTAGCTGTCTGCTGTTTTGAGGCATTGCTGATCCACCATCTGTAAGTTTGGATTCTTCATCACTTCTCTTAGAGCGGGAGTGGATTGCACTGAGCTATTCACACGCTCCCTCCACCGTTCAGTCATTGGGTTCTGTCTGGAAAACTGCTGACCGGATTAGGCATGGTCTCAAGTTATAAGACAGAATAATGACAATGACCCCAAAGGGGTCAAAGGGCCGCCTTTGGCCAGCAGCAGAGTCACCACACCCCTTCAGGGGGCTGAAACAATCTCTAGAGCTCAGATCATAGACCCCAAAACACTTTTCATTCATTCACTCAAATCTCGTAGATAACCATTCACGTGAGCGGGCCCCAGAGTTGGAGGTGATGCTAGTGCCCGGTTTGTCCAGGTGAACCACAGAACAAAGACCGTGGGTCCCTCAGAGGCTTTGAATATGATTTGCCACAAAGCAGATCTTGATCCCTTCAGCAAATGTCCTCCTCAGTCAGAATCTTTCTGCATCGGACCCTCTGGCCCTGCTAACATTTCCGGAGTCCCTGTGCTGATTCTGAGATGCAAATGACAGTTGTGTGGCTTGTGACACATTGTTCCCTCCTGTTGTGCTCCAGACGGGATTCACCCCCCTCCACATCGCAGCTCACTACGAGAACCTCAACGTGGCCCAGTTGCTCCTCAACAGGGGCGCCAGCGTCAACTTCACCCCACAGGTAAGTAGGCCCCGCCCTCGAGAGAGGGGTTTGGGCTTGTCTGGCTGCTGGCGCTTCTGCCTCTCGCTCTGACACCATGAGTTTCCTCATATGGCACAAGTGACTATGGGTGGGACAGCCTGGTGTTTATTGAGGCTGCCCATTGATGGGCTTGGTTTGTTTTTTTTTTTTTAATGTTTATTTATTTTTGAGAGAGAAAAAGAGGCAGAGAGAGGGGGGACAGAGGATCCCAAGCAGGTTCCACACTGTCAGTGCAGAGCCCGGTGCGGGGCTCGATCTCACAAATTGTGAGGTCAGGACCTGAGCTGAAATCCAGAGTCGGACGCTTAAGCCACAAAGGCACCCAGCCTCCCCTCATTGATGGGTGTCTGATCATCTGCCTATTAGCTTCCATGTGCCCATTCTCGAGGGGCAAGCCTGGAGGGCAGGACTTTCTTCCAGTCTGTTATGATGACTGGGGGACACGGCTCGGTCAGATTGCCAAGATTAACCATGTGCTGTCATGTCCTCATAGATCCTGAAATCTGTCTTAGGTGAGAAAGGTACTAGCGGTAGGCTTAGCGCGGCTCCTTTCAGTGATGCCTCTGTCTGGTTGGGGCTGGAGACTCTGGGCCGTGGGGTGGGTGCATAGCAGCCGCGTTCCAGGGGCAGATGCCACGCCCTGACTGGTTCCTGGTCCTCCCTTCCAGAACGGCATCACGCCGCTGCACATCGCCTCCCGCAGGGGGAACGTGATCATGGTGTGGCTCCTGCTGGACCGCGGGGCCCAGATAGAAACAAGGACCAAGGTGGGTGCCAGCGAGCTCCAGCGCAGGGCCCCGGGGAGGGAGCTCTGCCTTCCCGAGCCGTGGCGGGAGCGGTGGGCTCTCAGCGACCAGCTGGCGATGGGCCTCTAGCATCCTGGATCAGCTCGCAGTGGCAGCCAGGTCACAGCAGTGGACAGAACAAGATGTGCTGGTCTTTCAGGAAGCATCCCCGCTGCTGTGGCTGCAGTGGTGCTGCGGGCAGGCTTCCCTCCGGTGGCTCTGATGGGTGCCTTTGGGGCTTTCTCTTTTGGACCCTGTCTTTTAAAGGATGAATTGACACCTCTCCACTGTGCAGCTCGGAATGGGCACGTGCGAATCTCAGAGATCCTGCTGGACCACAAGGCACCCATCCAAGCTAAAACCAAGGTTTGTGCTCCCCTGCTCCCCTTCTGTGAGGAGCACCTTTTCACCAGGGGCCCAGGTCAGGCCAACCCAGGATCAAATCCCATTTCTGAAAAAACAGAGATGCTAATAATCCTAGTGGAGCCAGTGTATGTGATGTTTCCCCCGATGCCTGTCGCACAGAAGACATTCAGTCTAGCTCTATTTATTTTTTTAATGTTTAATTTTATTTTTGAGAGAGAGAAAGAGAGAAAGCATAAGCCAGGGAGGGGCAGAGAAGGAAAGAGAGGGAGAATCTCAGGCAGGCTCCATGCCACCTGCCTCCAGGGCACCTCCAGAGCCCAATGTAGGGCTGGTACTTACAACTGTTGAGATCATAGCCTGAGCCAAAATCAAGAGTCAGACGCTTAACTGACTGAGCCACCCAGGCACCCCACTATAGCTCTAATTATTATCTAGATTGGGCACCGCAAACTTTTTCCCCTAAAGGGCCAGATAGACTTTGCAAGCCATGATCCAACGATTCCACTCTGCCATTATAGTTGGAAAGCAGTCATGGATAATATGCAAACTAGCAGTCATGTTCCAATAAAACTTTATTTACAAAGATAGGCAGCAGACCAGATTTGACCCACGGGCTGTCATTTGCTTGCTACAGCACTAGACTAACCCTTGCGTCTTTTATCTTGGCTCCAAGAAAAGATAGGACATAAGCCGCCTGAGAAGTGTTTACAGCCTGGGCCAGTCTGAAGTGAAGTGAAAAAAGAAAACAGAATAGTTCCTCTCAAGGTGCATGAAAGGCCAGAGCAAATGCCCCTCCTTCAGCTCTTGAGTCTTCCCGAGGCTAAAGCTATCAGACAGCCTAGTGCTGCTTACACCTCCTCTAGGCCTCACGCCCACTTCTTTGGGGTGAATTTAGAAGGGTGTCGGAATAGAACAAGGGAAAACCCAGGCCCCTTCACAGCCTCTCCAGGGGTCTCGTGTGAGCAGTTACAGATAGTCCGTCCATTCCGTGACAGATTATCATCGTGTCTTCTACACAGCTATCTGTAATTTGGGTCATGACTCACAGCACCAAGCTGGCTTTGTGTGTGTATGTGTGTGTGTTGGTCAGGGGCTGGGGCTGGGAGTATCCTCTCCTAAGCCAGTTTATTTCTCGTTTAAACCTCCGTCCACGGCTGAGTTGCTTTGCGACTCTTGAGCATGTCCCTTACTCTGTCTGTGCCTCTGTTTCCTCATCTGGAGAGCTCTACCCCTCTCTCCCGGGGTTGTTGGGATGATCACATGAGATAATATAAAAGTAAAAATCCTTGGATAAGTGAAGGTAGAATCGTTACTGCCGATTATGTGGTTAGATCAGGAAGTTCTCAGCGTTTTCCCACAGAGGTCCTATGTGTAAACTTGCATAAAGCTTCCTGAGTTGGTAATGATTTTATATTACCCAGATTATTAGAATGAGGTTTAAAAAGGCAGTCACGGAAGTTCTTCACTGAGAACTTCTGACTTTCCAATTGGGAAATAAGTTGTGACCCATGTAAAATTCACCAGGTGGCAATGAACGGTTTTCGTTTGCTAGTGCTGCTGTCACAAAGTGCCACACGCTGGGCAGCTTCAACAGCAGAGGCCCATCGCCTGGCAGTTCTGGAGGCTGGAAATCTGAGATCAGGGTCAGCAGGGCTGGTGCCTTCAGGGACTGTGAGGGGGAACCTGTTCCAAGCCTCTCTCTCGGCTTCGGGGGTTGCTCAGTCTTTGACGTTCCTTGGCTTGTAGATGCATTGCCCTGACCTCTGCCTTCAGAGGCATTTTCTCTGTGTATGAGGGGCCGTGTGCAAACTTCCCCCTTTTGGGAGGACGGTAGTCATGCTGGAACAGGGCCCACACTAAAGACCTCATCTTCCCTAACTACATCTGCGGTGACCTGATTCCCAAATAAGATCACGTTCCGAGCTCCTGGGGTTAGGACTTCAACATGTGGAATTTTCTTTTCTTCTTCTTTTTTTAAAGTTTATTTATTTGTTTTGAGAGAGAGTTGGGGGGGGAGAGAGAGAGGGAGAGAGAGAGAGAGAGAGAGAGAGAGAGAGAGAATGCTGAGCAGACACCACGCTCAGCATAGAGCCCCACACAGGGCTCAATGTCGCAAATGTGAGATCATGACCTGAGCTGAAATCAAGAGTCAGCTATTCAACCAGCTGCTATTCAACCAGCTGCGCCACCCAGGCAACCCCAACATGTGGATTTTGAGGTGACACAGAGCAACCTAGGACACGAATACAAGCTGTCCTGCAGCCTGATTGTGTGTCCCCTGCTGAAAATCCTCTCTCTAAGAGCTCCCATCCCAGTTCTGAGCTCCTGGACTGTCGTGAGCCAGCTCTTGCCTGCCCCCAGCCCAGCGGCACACCCCCATCACACTGGGCCCTCCTGTAGGGTTTAGCTGCATTGAGCTCCCTGAGTTCCCCAAGGATGGCTGCCTCTGTGCTACAGCACACTGCTCCCTTCGCCGGCGGTCTTCCGGGCCAAGTCCGAGCTCGGGAGCACCTCCTCTCAAGAGCCTTCACTCCCCATCCTCCCTCCTGTGGACTTCTGTGCTTTGATCTTGCCTTTCCTGATGTTGCCACACTGAACACCAACCATGTATCTGTTTCCACCTCTTTTCCCCACCAGACTATAAACTTCTTTAGGCCAGGGATTAAGTCTGTTCTCTTTTGTTTCCCTGGCACTTAACCCCTACCTGGTGTTCATTAATTGCTTGATAAATATTTGTTGGATTAATGTCTGAATGAATGAGTGAAGAGTCTTCTCTGTCTTTAATGGTTTTTAAAATAGGTTGCCACCTAAGAATCCACGAGAGTCCTTAACAAAGTTTTTTAAGTGATATGTATTTGTTAGGAGCAAAGAACAGGGACTTAGATGTGAGTTCCATGTTGTGCTCATTCATTCATTCAAAACCATGTAAATTAAGGATCACTATGTGTGTTACACACATGAATGAGGATTGTGGGGCATATGAGAGATATGAAGCATAGTCCCTGGTCTTAAGAGGCTGGTAAGTAAGGGGGGAAGATACGTACACCTGACGAGTTAATTATAGGTACAACTCAGCAAATCTATGAGTAATGTCTGAGTGAGTGGGACAGATAAGAAAAGCCCACAGAAGGCTAAGGTGGTCAAGGAGGGCTTCCCGGGAGAGGTGGGCCTGGCTGGAGCTGGCTTGGAGGATTTGATAAAGTGGAAAGGAGAGTGTAGTCAGACACCAGCATGAGCACCGGGGCCAGAGTGAAGCAAGCTCACTCAGGAGCTGCCCAGACACATCGTGGAGGGAAGTAGGAAATGAGGTTGGAATCATTGCCTTGAATTCCCGTGTTCATTTCCTTTACAACTGCTTGTCTTCCCCTCTTCTCCCAGAATGGCCTGTCCCCAATTCACATGGCGGCTCAGGGAGACCACCTTGACTGTGTCCGACTTCTATTGCAATACAAAGCGGAGATAGACGACATCACCCTAGACCACCTGACCCCGCTCCACGTGGCAGCCCACTGCGGCCATCACAGAGTAGCCAAGCTCCTTTTGGATAAAGGAGCCAAACCAAATTCCAGAGCCCTGGTGAGTGGGAGGCTATTGGAGAAGGTGCCAGAGGGGCAAAGGCTGAGGGAGGTGGGACCAAAGCTGTGTGGCTGAGCTTGGTGCGAAGGGCACCAGTGGGTGCCTGGAGGTCCCCCGAGACTCAGGGTCTGGATAGTGGCAGTGCCTGCTAGGACCCAGGAGGCAAGACAGTAACCCCCACACCTCCCTCCACATCCAGCTTGGTGTCGCCTTCTGCCCCCCCGATGACTATGGCCCCCGGTGACAGGCTGAGGTCAGGGGTGGGTTTGGGCCCTGGAGATCAGGCTAAGAGGCCGTGTCCGTAGTATGTATGAGGGTTTGGGGAGCCACTCCATCTGAGGCAGCCCAGAGCTGAGGAACAATGACTGCCTGTAGGTTGCTAGCTTTCTTTTCTGCTTTAGGGGGTGAGTGAAATGGGCTGAGCTAAGCATCTGCTGATGAGCTTAAGGTTTTCAGGTGCTGGTGAAAAGTTCTGGCCTAAAGCAAATTCCCTCCTGGGCTCCTCTGCCTCTTTCCCCAGGCCTGGCCCTCCCAGGGCAGCTTCAGGGATCTGGTGGGGCCAGAGCTCTGCCCAGAGCGTGCCCTTGACCACCATGTCCTCTCTGTCCACTCCCAGAGGGGAGAATTTAGAAGGCAGGAGAGCCTCCACTCTGACAAGGATGGCTTCCTCATTCATTCAGAGAGCTTTCAGGGAGCTTTTGCCATACGCCCGGGACTATGCCCCCAGGGACTATGCCGGGGTACTTGGGGAATTTCTCGGCTCTGGCGCTAGTGACATTCTGGGTCTGATATTCCGTGTTGTGGGGGCCTGGCTTGTGTGCGGTAGGATGTTTAGCAGCGCCCTTGACCCCCACCCTCAAGTGTTAATACCCTCTTCCTCTGGCTGTAAAAACACCAGTGTCTCCAGAATTTGCCAAATGTCTCCGGGGTAGGGTGGGACAAAATCCCGCCTCCCCTCACCTTGAGCACTACTGCCTAAGGGAATAAAGCTCACCTTGAGCACTACTGCCTAAGGGAATAAAGCACCGGAAGAACAAACAGACAGAAACAAACAACTAAAAATCCTTGTGGAGTTGACATATACAGCCCAGTTGCTATAAGGAAATCCACTTTACCAAAAATGATCTGTGGTTCCAGGGGAGACAGAACATGATTTGCTTCACCAAAGTACTCTTTATTGTCAAGCTCCCCTTAAGGAAACTTTAAACAGCAGGCTTATTTTTGTGCGTTCAAAAATACGATTGACGTTTTAAAAAAGGGTTGATAAACAACTTGTTCAGGAGCATGTGTGAGAGGTGCAGAAGGGGAGAGCCGCCTGCCTCTTGCGCGATTCGCAGTCCCCGATGATCGGGCCAGCAGCAGTCACCGGTGGGTGGCCTGGGGGCCCCTCGGGCCAGTGTTGTGAGTTCCTGCTTGTCTGTCTCCCTATGCACGGGGCTGCAGAACGGCTTCACCCCCTTGCATATCGCCTGCAAGAAGAACCACATCCGTGTCATGGAGCTGCTGCTGAAGACGGGGGCTTCCATTGACGCAGTCACTGAGGTAGGACAACTCTGCAGGTGGGCACGTGGGCTCTGCCCCCGGCCTTCTGCCGGAAGATTTCTTGGGAGTCGTGTTTTAGCTACGTGTGTGCTCAAGCCTGGGCTGCTTGAAGGGATCAAGTGGGTGACCAAGATATGAGACCCTGTGTACAGTTTCAGGGACCTTTCTGAGATCAGATGCAATTGTTTTTTTTGAGTTGTATAGCAGACAGAATCACCCTGCAGTGCCTTTTTTTTTTTTTTCCTCCAGCCATTTTCCTGGAAGCAAACCCATCTCATTTAACTCCCCTTTCTTGGAAACCCATTCTGGAGCACCTAGCAGCAAGAAAGCTTTAGATTCCTCTGCTCTCTCTTCTTTGTCGGGGCCCTTCCTGCTCCTCTCTTCTTCTCATTCCTCTGTTGTGTGTTCCAGTCTGGCTTGACACCTCTCCACGTGGCCTCCTTCATGGGGCACCTGCCCATTGTGAAGACTCTCCTCCAGCGGGGGGCATCACCCAACGTCTCCAACGTGGTAAGCCCGCAGGGAGGGGAAGGGCTCCCTCCTCAGGACCGAGACTTCGGAGAGGAGCTTAGCGAGTGGTCCTAAGATCTCCTCTCTGGGGACAGAGCTAGAGCTCTCAGAATAAGAGAGACTTCAGATTTGGGGAGAACATGTGTATCTGTGGAGCTTTTTCCGATTAAATTTGTTACACGTCTGTAAGTCCTAGGAGTTTTATGTTAGGCGGTAACCTGGGAACTGCAAGTGTTGTCTGGGAATACACTTGCAGTTTTTTAACATTCATTAGCTCTCGGGTTTACTTTCAGTTATACCTAGAACACACACACACACACACACACACACACACACACATCAGGCATCAGCACTTTTTGGACAAAAGACCAGCAAGTTACTCCAGGCTAGCACTTTGGAACCGTGCATGTGTCCTTTGGGAAAAGGAGCGTGTATTAACAATTCTGTTATTTTACAGAAAGTGGAGACCCCACTGCACATGGCAGCCAGAGCAGGGCACACAGAAGTGGCCAAGTATTTGCTCCAGAACAAAGCCAAAGTCAATGCCAAGGCCAAGGTGAGTTTTGGAGGTGGGAGGGATCCTGGAGTATAAGCAATTCAAGTGCAGTGAGGAGAAATCCATCCTATGAGCCTCCTGGCTACACTGCATATGGCACAAGGACCCCTTGTCATTCCCACGTCGGTTGAGCTAAGTGTTCAGATTCTGCTTTGCAGGGGTTCTGAGAAGACCAGACCTATGTTTCTTCTTCTTTTTAAAAAGCATGTTTTTGCATTTTGAGAGAGAGAGAGAGAGAGAGAGAGAGAAAGAGGGAGTACATGGGAGGGGCAGAGAGAGAGGAAGAGAGAATCCCCAGCAGGCTCTATACATAGAGCCCTACACAGGGTTCAATCCCACAAACCGTGAGATCATGACCTGAGCTGAAATCAAGAGTCAGACTCTCACCGGACTGAGCCCCCAGGCGCCCCTGCATCAGAGCTATGGGTTTTTTTTTTAGGATAAGGAAAGTTTAAAGAGCATGGCTGGCTTGCAGAGTTTTTTGGGCTGAAAGAGTTTCATGGTGGTTACAGTCATGGTATAAGAGAAGCAACTGTTTTTAAATGTTTATTTATTTCGTTTTGAGAGAGAGAGAGAGAGAGAGAGAGTGCACAAGAGGGAGAGGGGCAAAGGGAGAGGCAGACAGAATCTGAAGCAGGCTCCGGGCTCCCAGCTGTCAGCGCAGAGCTCAGCTCGAACTCTCGAACCATGAGTTCATGACCTGAGCCAAAGTTGGACACTTAACTGACTGAGCCACCCAGGCACCCCTAAGAAGCAACTTTTTGGAGAGTATGTTGCCAATGAAAATCAGCCAGGACTTACTTGAACTAAAAATGGATGATTCCTCCTTGTTGTAAAAGGTATTCCCAAGGAATCAGATGAGTGAAGAGTAAGAATTTCTACTGCATATGCAAGGCGATTGGCTTTGGCCAAGATGGGGCTTTCTCACCCCACAGGTGACAGGGGCTCTGTTTAGAGTTGGAACAGTGATTTGTGTTTGGGCCACATGCAGAGGCTCCCAGCTGGGCCCAAAAGCACAGAGACCTCACCTTTGAACCCCTTCAGTATCAGGGGAGGAGGAGGAATAGGGGTGGGAGAAGAAAGTCATCTTTCCCCTTCCGCCATTTAGACTTTCTCATGACTCCATTCAAACCAAAAGGCAAATATCCGCTCACACATGACTTGGGAGACAGTAAGAGCAAGCACAGCATACTGGGTGCATGTTATGTGCCAAACACCACGTAAAACATTGTCTAGGCCCCATCTGCTTGATCCTAGCCATAGCCCAAGAGTTAGATATTGTTGTTCCCATTTTACAGATGGGAAGCCTGAGTGAGCCTTTGGGCACTTCAGTAGAAATAACGACTAAGTCAAAGGTAATTGTGAGGATTCCAGGAGAGAGCATATTTGTGTCTGTAATTAAGAGACTTGATTTCAGTCCCAGCTCTTCATCTTACTAGCTGTGTGACCTTGAGAAGGTCGCTTACCTTATCTGGGCCTCACCTTCCTTCTCTGTATAGTGAGGAGTTGGATTAAGAAACCTTCCCTGTTCTCTGTTTTTACTTTGGGCTCCAGGATGACCAGACCCCACTTTACTGTGCAGCTCGCATTGGCCACACAAGCATGGTGAAGCTCCTGCTAGAAAATAACGCCAATCCCAACCTGGCCACCACCGCCGGCCACACACCCCTGCACATTGCGGCCCGAGAGGGCCACGTGGAGACGGTCCTGGCCCTCCTGGAAAAGGAAGCATCCCAGGCATGCATGACCAAGGTAAGCCTTCCTCCTCCTCTTCCCCAGAGGCCGCTGGCTGCCCAGGCCTGGGGCGTGGGCTGGGCGTTCCCTCCTGATCCTCTGCATTGCCTTGATAATGCTGAAAGCAGCCCTGAGGACCGGCACCCCCGGCCTGGCGCCATCTGTGAGCCTGCTGTGTCATCCACCATCCCCAGATAGGTGGTGAACTGTAGTTTCTCATCCACCCACCCAGCCTTCATCCCTTTACCAGGGAATGGCTGTTTGGTCTGGACAAGTCCGGTTCTGGAATACAAGAAGGGCTAACCCTCAACCCTGCTCTCAACTTGCTAGTAGCTGAATCACAGCACAAGGTGGTTTTATGCCCCGTCACGAGAGGTGCAGGTGGCAGTCAGAGGAAGGCTGCTGATTCCCCGGGGCCTTGGCCTCTTGCAAAAATCAGAAATTGCTGTTTATTTGATAGGCATCTCCGCGCCAGTTAAGGCGGGATACCTCGGGGGGAGCGGGGGGGCTGGCTTTCTCTGGGGGAGGAGAGGGACAGCTCTGATGCCCACTGGTTCTGACAGCCTGTGTTTCTCCTCAGAAAGGATTTACCCCTCTCCATGTGGCTGCTAAGTACGGGAAGGTTAGGGTGGCCGAGGTGCTGCTGGAACGGGACGCACATCCAAATGCTGCCGGAAAAGTGAGTTTGAATTTCCCTCCCTCTCTCAGCCAGAACAGAGGATAAACTTTGCTACTTGGGAATGGCCTCTCTTACCCAGGCCCATTGTGTCCCTCTTTTGAATGGGCAGCTGTCTCGGTCAAGGGGCTTTGGGAAGACTGTCTTTCTGACAAAGGCCTTGTCCTCTCAGAAAAACCTGATGGCCTCCTCTGAGCGAATGTGTTCATTGTGCAGCCCCCAGGCCCTGCAGGAACGAGGGGGGTGGCCCCGGGTCTGGCTGGTTATGCTCTCGGGTGACTTCAGGTCAAGACTGGCCTTGGAACGACTTGTAACCAGATTGTAACTCTGTAAAAGAAGTGATACAGGTCCCAAAATGGCGCCTCTTCTAGCTGAAGCGATCACTAGTAGAAAGCCAGTTGAGTGAAGGCTGTTCTCTCTGTCCATCTTGCCCCCAGCAGAATGGCTTGACCCCTCTGCACGTGGCCGTCCATCACAACCACCTGGACATCGTCAGGCTGCTGCTCCCCCGGGGTGGCTCCCCACACAGCCCTGCTTTGGTAAGCCTGTCCCCATCCAGGCCTGGGAGCCGCGGCCCCGGACCTCCTCAGAGCCCGGGGCCTCTGGAAGGCAGGCTGCCTGCCGCTCCTTCAGGAAGCGCTCTTCCAGGAGCAGCTGGAGGGTGCTCGTGTTTTGCTTTTATTTTTACCTCTGAAATCTCGCCTCGCTTACACCAATGTTGCTACTATTGGGAGACCAGGAGTGGGGTGGAAAGTGGGTAATACGTCCCAGCAACAGGTTCCCTCACAGAGGTGGGATTCGTTTTACACAACAAACGTGGTCCCCAAAGTGCTGCGTGTCAACGGAGTTTTGGCGGCTGGCGGTCACGGGTCAGCACGTCCAGGAAGCTCCAGGAGCGGTGAGCCTTGTCAGGGCCCCTCTCCATTCGGCGCTGGCGGCACAGGGCCACACCTGGAGAAATAGTCAGGGCTGAGGGCGAACCTGCCATAACGTTGAAGCAAGGGACCTATTTCAGATGGGAACAGCCACCCCCAAACGTATTTCTCTTAGGAGCTCGGGCTTTGAGATGGTGGTATGTTTTAACAAGGCACACCCAGAGAACATTACGTGGTGACCAGAAGCCCAGCGTGCCAGCCCCGGAATCTGCTCAGAGTGGCAGCTTCATGGGCTCTCGAGGGACCCGAGGGAAGGAGGCTGGCCGGGCTCACTTATGTAACATCAGACTGGGGAGGGGCGGGGGTGGAGGCAGGCAGTACAAGGTGAAGGGATCGAGCTGGAAGTGAGTCTGTCCCGTGTGGGACCAGAGGGTGCGCAGTGTTTGTGCAGGGAGGGAGCTGATGGTCACGCAGGGGTGGAGGCGGGGCAGGGCTCTGCTTCTGCTACAACAGACACGCGGGGTCCCTGCACTCAGGGAGCTCACTGATAAGGCAGCCAGGACAGTTTCTGGGAGAGCACACCCTGATGCTCAGCCATGTGGCAGGAGGCTCAGTGCTGCCACACCAGAGGGAGCCACCAGGGTGGGGTGGACTGGTGTGTGATTACAGCTGACACCTGCTGACTGCAGCAGGAACAGAGCCGCGTCCGGGAAAATCCGCGCGGGCCTTCGGCTCTTCCTCCCTCCTCAGAATGGATGCTCATCTGAATTCCCTTCCCTGGAGACACAGCGTCTCCCAGACACCTCTGTCTCCTTGGGCTCCTGTCCCCGCCGCCGTTGTAGCGAGCCCACGTCACTGTGCAGACGGAGCGTGCAGCCCCGCGAAGATGTGACTTACTCCTGCCTCTAAAAATAAAAAGCTGGACTCCCCGCCCCCTCACTCCCCTCCTTATATAAAAGAAACTGGAGCCAGGTTCATGGTATTTAAGGAGAGCCTTATCCAAGCACAAACCTTGTACAGATGGGATTTGTTTCCATGGCAAAAAATAGTTTCCCAAGTAGTCTGGCAATTTTGTAGAATTTCACATGCAAATCCCTCTGCACCCAAACCAAACCCTCCCCCTTCTCATTTTGATGCTAATGTTGTTTTAACGTTTAGGCAGATTTCCCTCCAGTGTGCATTCTTTAGGATGAGCTCATTTCCTTGGGAGAAAAAGATCTTTCAGTGGCACATACGCCTCCGCCTCTGTAACCTCTCCTCCTAGCTGCCCCTAGTCCTCGTCACCCACAGAAGGTCATTCAGCCCCCTGAGTCCTGCTTTCTGGGAAGCACAGGGGGGTAGTTTCTGTCCTGAAACCGCCAGCCGCCCTTGTACGTCACGTTTCTCACCAGGGGTCACCTGGCCTGAGCTGCCGCCAACGCACGCATGCCCTTTGCAAGGACAGGGTGCTGCGTTCGCCAGTGTGGATGCACACAGCTGTCCAGGTGACGCATACTCCTGAATAGGCCGCCCTGAGTATACTTCAGCTTGCCCTGTTACTGTCCTTTATCTACTAGGATTCCTATGAATCGTTGCTTTCCTGCTGTGACTACCCGCTATGGACCCGGCCCTGGCCGGGTGTTCAGTCAGCTCATCCCATCCGTCCTGCGGACGGCGCTGAGAAACAGATGCTCTCTGAGGCTCACCTTGCAGAGAGCGAGCTCCCGTGGGCATGTCCAAGTGCCAGGCTTCATCTAGCAACCCACACCTCTTTCTACGCTTTCTGTTGATATAACACAATTTTTTAAAATTAATATTATCATCAAAGCTTTGATCTTGTTATGGGAACACAGCCTAAAAGGGATATATTCTTATAACATATTTTTTAAAAAAGGAACACGGAAATGAATTATCTTACATAATTATTCAATTGAATTGAATCTTTTTGTTCAATTTAATTCTCTAGGTAAATTACAGCTTCTCATCTCCCCATGAAATCCACCTTCCTAATGGCTCTTTCCCTGTTCTCAATGTCAGGACACTGGAACGTTACTATATTGCCAGCCCCCATTTTTCCTCTTTCCTTTTCCTGATCAGCGATCCTGGCAGATTCAGAAATGTTGGCTTCCACAGTAAGGCAGTGGCTGGCGGGGACGTTCAGATCTCTGGGAGAGACAGGGGAACACTGGCCAAGGTGGGGAAACCGTATGTCTTAGGCCATCTGCTCCGGGACTGGCAGGCATGAGCTAGGGAGTCATGGGTCCTGCTCAGAGGTCCTCACATTTAGCCCAGAATGTGTGGAGGCCTTGCTACCTAAAGTGTGGTCCCTGGACCAGCAGCAGCAGCATCCTCTGTAAGCTTGTTAGAAATGCAGAGTTTGGGGCCTCCCAAGACCTTCGGACTCAGAGTCTACATTTTAACAAGATCCTGAGCGCTTTGTGTGCACACTGGTTTGAGAAGCGCCGTTCCAGCTGAAAGGACCTGGGATCTGGAGCCTGAAGGCCAGCTTGGGTTCTCTGTTGCTCATTTGCTAGGTGACATCAGATAAGGCCCTTGACCTCACGGAGAATTAACTTCTCTCGCCACAAAATGAGATAATAATAAAAATGCCTGCCTTGTTTGCTGTACAAGCGATAACGTGGGTGAAAGTGGTTTCTAACAGTGGTGACCAAAGTAGACTGTCAGCTGTTTGCGGCGGATATCGCTCCATCCAGCAACCGTGAGAAAAGAACCAATTAGATGTTATTATCCACTTTAAACAGCTTCAGAAAATACAAAAGGATGTCTGGAGGTCCTTGAATATCTTGCCCCCAGTCACACAGCTAGTTAAGGCGGAAAGGGGACTTGGCTCCCTGTCTTCAGGGTTGCTGGGCTCAACCCCTCTTCCACCCCCTGCTTCAGCCCACAGTCCCAGGGTGGGGGTTGACTAAATTGTTCTTACTGCAGACAGGAGCCTTTCATTGACCTACCTAGCTTTCTAGTTCTTCTGTGAGCTGCTAGCTTTTGTGGTGACAGAGCACCTCCAACATAGCACTTTGTCATGCTGGCTGTGGGTGGCGTGGCTGCCCCCTCCCAAATCAAAGGGATTTGGTTGTTTTGTTTGTTGACTTAAATCGCTCTCCTTGGTGACACCAGCTCTGCTCACTGGGTGTCCCGCAGGCCGAGGAGCTGGCTTAGCTCTCCCTCAGAGGATTTAAAGTCTAAGGCATGATATACTCCTATGGTCAACTCAGCATTCTGGTAACTGGGCTCTGGGTGGCTTCTTCTGTTTCAGAATGGCTACACCCCTCTGCACATTGCTGCCAAGCAGAACCAGATGGAGGTGGCCCGAAGCCTGCTGCAGTACGGAGGGTCAGCAAATGCAGAGTCGGTGCAAGGTGTGACACCCCTTCACCTGGCTGCCCAAGAGGGTCACACAGAGATGGTGGCTCTGCTGCTTTCGAAACAAGCCAATGGCAATCTGGGGAACAAGGTAAATGCAGCTTCTCCAGATTTGTCTGTGCTCTCGGCAATGTTTTCTTGGTGACTGCGTAGACATTCTGTCTGAATGTGGAGCACCTACTGGATCCTCAGGCACTGAGTGTGTGAGCGTGAGTGTGCACGTGCATCATGTAATCCTTACCACAGCCCTGTGTGGGTTTTAGTCTCGGTTTTATAAATGAATAAACAGATTCAGAAAGGTCACTTATTGGGGCACCTGGGTGGCTTAGTCGGTCGAGAGTCCGACTTTCGCTTAGGTCATGATCTTGCGGTTCGTGGGTTCGAGCCCCGCGTCGGGCTCTGTGCTGACTGCCAGCTCAGAGCCTGGAGCCTGTTTCAGTCTGTGACTTTCTCTCTCTCTGACCCTCCCCTGCTCGCGCTGTCTCTCTCTCTCTCTCCTAGAAATAAATAAAACATTTAAAAAAAAAAAAAAAAGAAAGGTCACTTATACCCAGGGTTGCGTGACCCTGAGCCTGACACCAAAGCCTTTTCTAGAAAGATTGACTCAAGGATCTGCAAAAGATCAACATGAAAATCCACAGTACGCTTTCCCAAATATAGGCCAGTGTCTACATTCAGGAATGCAGTAAGTAATGTGGTACTGAACATTTGTTTTCTGTGGGAGAATAGTTTTAAATGCCCGCCCGTACATTAAACTAGCAGTTCTCCATCCAGAGACTATGGGTGGGAGAATCTGGGTCCTTCCGAGATTGCAGACAGCACTTTGAGAGGATGGACACGTGAGCGTATTTCTAAGTGAAGTCCTCATAGTTTCTGTCAGCTTCTCAAAGGACCACATCACCCAAGAAAGACTAAGAATCACTTATTTTTTTTAAATCATAGTTTTATTGAAATATAATTTACCATGGGGTGCCTGGGTGGCTTAGTCGGTTAAGCGTCCGACTTTCGCGTAGGTCATGATCTCGCGGTTCGTGGGTTCGGGCCCCGCGTCGGGCTCTGTGCTGACTGCCAGCTCGGAGCCTGGAGCCTGTTTCAGTCTGTGGCTCCCTCTCTCTCTGACCCTCCCCTGCTCACGCGCTCTCTCTCTCTCTCTCCTAGAAATAAATAAAACATTGAAAAATTAAAAAAAAAAAAAAGAAATATAATTTACCTACAATAAAATTCAGCCTTTTGAACTATGCTTGAATTCAGTGGTTTTTAGTATATGTACAGAATTGAGCCACCATCACCACTGGCTAATTTCCAGAACATTCTTATCACCCCAAAAGAAGCCTCATACCTGTTAGTGGCCGCTTCCCATTTCCCCCACACATCTCAGTCTCCAGCAACCACGAATCTACGGTTTCTGAATTTGCCTCATCTGGACGTTTCATATCATGAAATCAATCCAAAGAGCCACTCCTTTAGATGATAAAGGAACAGTTTCAGAAAGGCAAGCATTTTAAGGATCAACAGATTTGTTAAAAACCCGCAGATCCACTGGTTCTTTTTTGCACTGGTTTGGACAAGTGACCCCTGGGAGGGACCTGTTAGGACAGGACCATTATAATGGAGTGAATTCTTGGTTTTCTACCTTGTGCCATTTCAAGCAGGCTCTGTGAAGAGCCATAGGGTGGTGGTGATTCTCAGTACTGGAGATGTCCTTACTCATCCACATGCCATCGCGTGGGGCAAATTACTGTGTTATCCCAAGAATCAGGCAAGGCGCCCGGAGGCTTGTGACGGATGTAGGACCTCTCCATGTCACGGTCTATACTCGCTGCTGCCACACCTGCCTGCCCGCCGGCTCAGGCCTCTACTGGGAGGGGTACTGCTCATGGGCCTCTGGGCAGCCTGCCAAAAAAACAGAGCAGGACTCCAGGAGTCCCTGGAGGGGGGACAGACCCTGCCCCCCTGCCTCTGGCTGCAGAGGAATCACAGCTCTGTGGTTCCCACACTGAGGAAAGCGTATTGAATAGGAGAGAGGGGAGAGAAGACTTTTCTGTGCACATATCAGATGACATCCCCAGCGCATGACTGTCCTGAGAAAGCTGTGCAGGGAACTCCAAGAATATGGTGCTTTTAGTCCCTGTAGGATCCTCCATCCTTCAAGAGTGCAGCACGGCTGTGAGGTGCTAGTAACAGGCTATGTTGAGATGGCACGTCATGCTTTCCAGCGTCATCTACGTTTTCTCGACTGAACCATACTTTGCCCTCAAGATATGTCAGTGATAACCCCTGTTTTCTAGATAAGGAGAGCAAGGCTCTGAAGCTCATCTCAAATTATGGAAATAGGGAATGTTATAAGTGGAGAGTTCCGTAAAGTTTCTCTAGTTCGGAGGTTAGCAAACTACGGCCCGTGGGCCAAAACCAGCCCACCACTTGTTGGTGTAAATAAAGCTTTATTGGAACATAGCCATGTCCCTTTGTTTCCATGTTGACAATAGCTGCTTTCTCACTATAACTGACAGAGTTGGGTAGTTGTGACAGAGACATAAGCCTATAAGATTGACCATCTGGCCCTTAACAGAAAACATTGTTGACCACTACTTTAGTTAAACCACCTCATTTTTTAGATAAGGATAGATAGAAACCCAGAGCTGGAAGCACTTTGTCTAAGATCACACACCTGTTGGGTGGCTGCATAGCCAGGTTGGGCTCCCAAATCTCAATGCTCTTTCACCATGGCCTGGAAATCTTTATTGGCTACAATGTGATGAACTTCTTTTTCTTTCCAGAGTGGACTCACCCCCCTCCATCTGGTAGCACAAGAAGGCCACGTTCCAGTGGCAGACGTGCTGATCAAACATGGTGTCATGGTGGACGCCACCACCCGGGTAAGGCCTACACTTAGTTCGTGCTTCTGTCCATGTGGGCTTTCCCTCCCTTCTCCCCTTCATGTGCCCCTAGGCCTGCCCCAAAGCCCTGCCGCTCACCCATTCTCACCTCTTGCTTTTCAGATGGGTTATACCCCACTCCACGTAGCCAGTCATTACGGCAATATCAAGCTGGTGAAGTTTCTGCTACAGCACCAGGCAGATGTCAATGCCAAGACGAAGGTACAAGAACACTTGAAAGCTGACTCCTATACTAGCACTTTCTTAAGTGCCAAATTAGGGCACAGAGTTAACTCTGGGGCGCTTGGGGCTGTGCCACAATTTTAAGCTTTGACCCTGGAGGAGGAAATGGGGAAAATGCATTTTTTGTGTTGCACAGAGAAGCCAGGCTCTGTAATAAGTGGCCAGTTCTTTCGCTCATAGCTAGTTAATCCCGCCAAAATGTCACCTCGCTTTACAGCAAGGATACAGTCCCTTGCACCAGGCAGCCCAACAGGGACATACAGACATCGTGACCCTGCTTCTCAAAAATGGTGCTTCCCCAAACGAGGTCAGCTCGGTAAGTACCCACCAGTTTCCTGATTTTGGAGAAGTGGTCTGATGGGCAGCCCCTGTTCACCACAGAGGCTCAGTCTGCCCTTATTGCACATCTGGGACCTGGACCATAAAGTCACAGCTGCGTCGGTAGCCCAGGGCATGGGTGCTGTGAGGGGTTTCTCTTTCTGGTGAACTCCACGTTATCCTCTAAATATCATTTACCCTCCCCCTTTTACCTTTGTTTAAATACTGCTGTTGAAACTCTTTCTGTACTGCGTGACGCCACTTTCAGTAACTGCAAGTAGCAAAACCAAATGTCTCAGATGGTTCATGGTGTTTCAGGGCTCTGGGGTCATCTTGAGCAATGTGATCATTGCTCAGTAGGGGCTTCCTCATCTGATGACGTGCAGGTTTTACTAGGTCTTCTCCACGGCTGCTTCCAGCTCTGAAAGCGTCAGGACCTCTGTGGGTGTGGCTGCTAAACCTATAACTGGTTGGAGCTGAATCTGTACAGGGCCCAGGGCACATCCTAGGACTGGAGAACTTAAAAGAAAATAAAGCTTTAATGTCAATCTACTTCCTCTTAGCCCTATCTCTTCAAATCAGAGTAGAAAATATGCCTTTCCCCTGTTTCTGGTGGTGATTTGTGATTTCTGATTGGTCTAAACCATTAACCAAAGTATGTATGCGTTATTTTAGTTATTTTAGCACTGGGTAACTGATACTGGAAGAACTGCTGTTGGGACCAGTAAGCAGCATTGCTGTCTACTTTCCTATTCCAGAATTGCATATGGCTCCTTCCTGACCCATTCCTTCCCGTTGGTTTGGTTCCTCTTGGCAGTTCTTGACTTGTCCTGGCAAGATTTCCCCTGTTTCTCATTTCAAAGCTCCCATACTCGGTGCTACAGACTTAAAGTATCACTGCCCTCTTCTCTCCCATACCCCATCTTTGCAAGCATTGTTCTGACACCTATCTGGGCTCACAAGTGTGTGAGGGTCTTGCTCTGGGCTCTGAAGTGCAGTGTGCCCACCTACACTCTTCTAAACGATTAGAATGTGAGCTTGGTCTAAATAAAAGGGACAGTGCTTTACCCCCAGAGTCCATTCCCTTATCTGATCTCACCCTGTCTCTGCTAATTTTCTCAGAATGGAACTACACCTCTGGCAATAGCCAAGCGCTTAGGCTACATCTCTGTAACAGACGTGCTCAAGGTTGTCACGGATGAAACCAGTTTTGTGGTATGTCGGCTTCTCCACTGCACCAGCCACCCCAGATACACAAAGCTTGACAGGCAGGGCGCTCCTGTGGGTTATTCTGGGAAGAGGAGCACATTCTGGGCCGGAGTAGGAAGCACAGCGCCAATGGCGGGCCCGGGCCACAGGGAGTGAGTGTTCTCCTCCATCAGGTGGAGCTGTACTGCCACCTAGTGGTGAGAAGAGTTAGGGCCGTGACCAGACCTAAGGGGGCAAACAGCAAGCTGGGTCGGGGGCGGAGACAAGGCAATAGGAAGCTGGCATTTCCTGTTTATCCCCTCGCCCAGACCTCAGCTTTGGGCAGAAGGGCCGATCAGCTTTGCTTCCCGTCGTTTAAGACAAAGCTTCTTTTCCGCCTCCTTCCTGCTGAATTCGGTGAAAGGGCCTACTGTTCTATTTGGGTTGAATTCTCTGCTTTTTCTTTCAGTTAGCCAGTGACAAGCACCGGCTGAGTTTCCCTGAGACGGTAGATGAGATCCTGGATGTCTCTGAAGATGAAGGTAACGTCTGGGATTAACAAAAAGTCCGGGGAAAGTCAGACCGAAGGGAATACACGGGGCTAAGACCCTCCCACCCTGCGTGCCTCCTGGTACCTGCTATAGAACACTCGAGGGCCCTTAAGCGCGCGCGCAGGCGCGCGCGCGCACACACACACACACACACACACACACACACACACACGTGTTCTGCGGGACTGTATCAAAGCCAGAGAGAACTGCTTTTTAATGAAGTTGTCTGTGATCAAAAATATTCCTTTAGTGTAATTTTAGGAAAAAATCTACGTCTCAGAGTTAAAATACAAAATTCCTTGAAGTTTCCTAAGTATTATGTGTGTTCGCCTATTATGCATGGAGTATGATTCTGCTCAGATCAACTCTCGGGGCCATTAAGAACTACAATAAAATTCTGCCTGATACTTTCCTTGTGCTTTGAGCACGTAACAAGCTGTTTATTTTAAATCTGTAAGAATTTTTTTTAATAAGCTACTCCTCTGGCCACATAGTGGGTCATTTTGCTTTGGGTGCAACCATTATTATGAAATCACTATAGTTTCAACTTCTGTGAACCATGGAGTGTTTGTAGTATATTTCCTGCCCCACATAAGCCTGTCTTGTCTCCTCACTTAAGTGTGAGGGGAGCCCGAGCCCTTGTGACGCACAATCACAGGGTTGGTCTGGATTATCTCTGCAGCCCCTGGTGTTATAACTGTGTCGGCGAGATGATTAAGGCTCCCTTCATGTCCCCGTTAATAATATGCCTCTTGCAGTAACTGACTTCAATCCTTTCCTTTCTTAAACTTGGCTCTTCTTTGCTTTCCAGGAACTGCTCATATAACTATCATGGGTATGAAACACTTTCTGTTCCCTGTGGTCCTTTCTCACGCATTTCACCCTAAGCAATCCCAGCTCTCACTAATCCATCCCTGCTTTCCACCCTCCTCCGATGGCTAACAATCTGGAGCCAGGAGCTTGACTATAACAGGAGATTTACACCCGTAAGATCCATGCCCGGGCGGGTAGCTCCTGCCTGTCCATTTCCGTGTCTGTGCCCATGCCACCGTGTTTGTGATCATAACTGCATGAGCTGTTGTTATTTCATTCTGTCAGCTCCAGATCACAGAGCCAGGACGCTCACTGCTAAGTGACAGTAAATGACACCGCAAGGTCGAGGGCTCCCGCTCCGGTTCAGGCAAAGAGAGAGAAACAAAGAGGAAGTCTGGGCTGCAGATGTAGTTTGAACCTCTTTATAATAGACTTAGGAAATAATAAGGTTTCAGCTGCCATGATTAAAAAAAAACAAAACAAAACCCTAGAGCCCTTCAAAACGAATGGGATCAGTCCCATTGTAGTTTACTCTTCCTTAGCGTGTGGTGTGGCAAAGGACAGAATCAACTCTTTTCTTTGGCGCCCGCATCCCCACCAAGAGCTGCTTAGAAGTGGAGCTTGTTCAAGCCAAGGAAGTCCTTTCTGGCTGTATTTTTTGTCTTCTGCGACTAAGCTGTTGGGAGCTGGCTGCCCTGCTCTGTGCCTCCAGGCTGGAGGAACGGGACTGACCCAAGACGTTGTTAGTGGTCCCCTTGGAGCAGCAAGGGCCTTGCTCTGCCCCTCAGGGGCCAGCATGGAGAGGAGGAGCAGGAAAGCACGATTTAAATAGAAAGAGGAAACGCCCATCCTGTCCCTCATGTAGACTTTGTGTGGTTTCAGGGGAAGAACTCGTCTCCAAGGCTGAGAAGCCGGATTCCAGAGATATCGATGAAGAGAAGGAGCTGCTGGATTTTGTGCCGAAGCTAGACCAAGTGTAAGGAGTGCACACACCGCGGACGGGCGGGCCGGCCCGAGCTCAGGGCGGAGGGGTTCCCCAGGAGGGAAAAGTCTAGACTGTGGGTCCGGTACCTTTGGATCAGCGAGCCCTGTGCCCTGTGCTCCAGGGACCTCCCACTGCATGCTGTCCTCCGGCAGGTGCCTCTCTTCCTCTTCCAGTGTCCCTGCTCCCAACTTTCCGCCTCCCTCTCTGTCTCCTACTCAGCCCCTCCTTCTCCTGCACTCCCAGCTTCTCTCTAGAAAAGTCTACTGAGGAAGATTCATATTCACAACTGTTGCCAAGCTGAGCTCACACACTGACCGCGGCCGTCTGTCAGCACGGCACCTTAGAGAAACCCATGAAGGGTTTGTCTGCCTGGAACACATCCCCCCACCCCCACCACCTTGGGGTGCTATGAATTATTCCCACGTGGGTACATCAGCACACAGAGATTTGGTGAATACACCTAACCGCGACAACCTTGTAGAAACACTGAGTCCTCAGTGTTTTCTGAAAAGACAGACGTGCGCCAGCTTAGTCCCAGGGCTCACACGAAACAGGCCACTGAAACGGCCAGAAGTGAAGCCCCAGGGTTATTTCATCAATGAGTATTTACTGTATAAAATATGAATCTCAAAACTCAAAATCATTAGTATTTACATCAGTCAGAAGTACAAGACTTGCACCCATAAAGAACCTACCAATTTATTTGATGGGATCAAAACACACTCCAAGGGCCGCCTGGGTGGCTCAGTCAGTTAAGCTTCCTACTTTGGCTCAGGTCGTGATCTCACCATTTCCAAGTTCGAGCCCCGCGTAGGGCTCTGTGCTGACAGCTCGAGCCTGGAGCCTGTTTCAGATTCTGTCTCCTTCTCTTGCTTCCTGCCCCTCCCCCACTCATGCTCTATCTCTGTCTCTCTCAAAAATAAACAAACATTTAAAAAAATTAAAACACACACGTGCACACACCCCAAGAGGTCACAGAGCAGTGCAGGATAAGATGCTAAGGCCAGAGTGAGGATCCTATCAACAGGAGCAGGGGAGAAACAGGTGAAAAGTGTGAGATGGTGCAGGAAGCAGCCCCTTCACCTGGCTTGTGAAGGGAAGCTGGGCCTCAGGAAAGGCTTGGAGGCGAGGGGAAGAGGGGAAGAGGCTGGGCAGTGTGTGATGCCGAGTTGTATTGCTTGTGTGATGTGCACTTCAGCTTGTGGCAAGGGGGCAGGTAGGTTAGGTTGTTGGGGGGTACGGAGGTGTTTCACCGGGCCTCCCGTGGCAGACAGGAGCTACTCAGAAGGATCATGCCTCTGATTTCCCCGTGTTCTGGGCGTCTAGGGTGGAATCTCCAGCCATCCCAAGGATCCCTTGTGTCACGCCCGAGACAGTGGTGATCAGATCTGAGGAGCCAGAACAGGTAAGAAGCTCCTTTTCTTTTTTTGTTCCCATCCACGGAGAGCGGGTACCCCCGGGACAGCGATGGTTTTGAAATGATCTGCGGTACCATAAGAACTAGGAATGAAAAAGCCTGTAGCATTTACTAGGCCCTTAGATCCAGGCTTCCACGTGTCCTTGGCAGTCCCCTGTGCTGCCAGAGTTCTTATTATCCAAGATATTAATGATACGTGTCTCAGAGAGCCCAAGGGTGTGTAAAACACCATTCCGCTAGTCCATCCAGTCACCGGTGAGGCTGAGAACTGATGCCAGAAATTCTGGCTCCAAAGCCTGTGTCCTCATGGCCACGCCCCCTGTGTCCAGGCTCTCTGCACTCACCCCTCACCCCCACCCCCCACCCTTGGGCAGTGGGGTCACAGAGCTGGAGAGGGAGCCGAGGCTGAGCTGCAGGCATGCTCACGGAATTCCTTTCTTTCACATCCATTAGAGAGAGGAGCAGTTTCTGCCTCCCCTTCCTCAAGGGATTATCAAGAGCTTAAAATACCAACACAGATAGAAAGGGATGTCAGAGAGAGCTGTTCCCAGGCAGCACTCTTGCTCAGTCCCCTGTTTTGTGGCTTCCCTGGGTGCCACCTGAATCCGTCCCCAAAAAACAGTGGGATGGTTTCAAACAATTTAATTCCCCTTAATTTAATGTTTTGATATCTGGCACTCCCCCCACCACCTCCAAGCCAAGGGGATTTTCTAGGATAAAAAGCAGTGTGGTGTTTGGAGGTTGGAAATGATTGCCCTGAAGCCTGATAACTGAGCTGGGCATGGCCTGTTTTCCAGCCGAGGCTGGTCTTTCCCTCTGCCACCGAAGGGCTAGATGCCTGAAAGCAGCAGCCATAGCGCTGGACCCAAGGGTGGCATGCAGGGACAAGCCAGCTGTGAAGTCAGCCATTCCATGCTAGGGTACGTCATGGTGCCATGATACTGGAGTCACTCACGGGAGGCATTTGGGAGATACGGTCAAATATGGTCGTGGTACAGCTATGCTGGATGCTGCCAAAGACGATAGGAAAGTCACCGTGTCAACCTGTGTCCTCTTGTTCCTTGACCAACCCATTCTCTTCAACTCCTTGCTAAAGTCATGAACTCAAGTCAGTGGGCATTCCTGGATTCTTACTGTGCACCCTTCACAGGGCTCCACATAGGAGCACTGGGGGACCCCAGCCCGCCCCCCTAGGAGCATATGGACCAGCTGGGAAGGGTGGGCTCCCATACATGAGGCCAGTTCACACAGATTGCGGGAAGAGCCAGTGTCCCCGTACCTGATTGTGTTGTGTGAAGCCTCCTGGATCCTGGATTAGAGTAGCGGGAAAGCTTCATGTAGGAGGCAGTGTGTGATGGGGGGTGGACCAGGCCAGCAAAGGAGAAAGACAGGGGTGTCAGGACCTGTGGGAGTGAGAGGGGACTTGGGAGGAAAGCCAGATTCAGACCCTGCTAGCTTTCGTGCTTGTGATATGCAGTGCCCCATGCGAGGCAGCCCCATGTCTCTGCAGCTACAGTGTCACTGAGGGGCAGGGACTGTCCCATTTGCAGATGAGGGAGGAAGCCCCCCAAGGGTAAGATGTGCCCCGTTCCCCTCCTGTGCCTTGCCCAGGGCTAAGCAGCTAGTAGGTGACGGTGCAGGCTCCAGGACCACGTCTGTGAAAAGTGAGCTCCCTAGAGCAGAGGTCTCACCTTGGAGCAGGGCTGGAGGAGACAGTAGGTAAGTCTGCAGTTTGTGCAGTGGACATAGGACCCAAAAGGAGCCAAGGAGAAGCCATGATGTAGGAAGAAGTCTATGCCTCCCTTTAGACTCCAGGAAAGCTGTGTCCAAAAGGGGTCGGTGGTGAGTGTGCAGGATTTCTGCCTCCATTGGGTCTCTTGCTTTCTGGCAACAAGATGCTCCTGAGCCTCCCCAGCCCAGAACAACACCGGCCTGGCCAAAACTAGCTCCTGTGGCCCAGGAAGTGATGGGACCATTGGCCTTTCTCTCCTCCTCAGGCGTCTAAGGAGTATGACGAAGACTCCCTCATCCCCAGCAGCCCGGCCACAGAGACCTCAGACAACATCAGCCCAGTGGCCAGCCCCGTCCACACAGGGTGAGTGACCCCTGTGACTCACGAGCTCAGGGCCCTCGCTCGCCCCGCCTCAGAGAAGGCGTGCAGAAGCCCAACGTGGATCTGCCTGTGCCGTAGGTTTTTGGTGAGCTTCATGGTGGACGCCCGGGGAGGCTCCATGAGGGGGAGCCGGCACAATGGCCTGCGGGTGGTGATCCCGCCCCGGACGTGCGCCGCCCCAACTCGGATCACCTGCCGCCTGGTCAAGCCCCAGAAGCTGAGCACGCCGCCCCCGCTGGCCGAGGAGGAGGGCCTGGCCAGCAGGATCATTGCACTGGGACCCACGGGGGCCCAGTTCTTAAGGTGAGAGGTCACTCCCACCGGACGTGCATGTGCAGCACGTGTCCCTAATCTGCCCCTGCCCTGCTGGGCCGTCGCTGCCGCCTCAGCAGCAACCGCCCAGAACCGCCCCAGCCGCAGGGCCGAGCAGGCGCCCCGCCCGGGCGCCATGCCATCTTGTCTCTCCGCTGTCCTGAGTGACAGAACCCGCAGCTTTTAGTCCCCATCTCCCAGACTCAGGAGTCTACAGCCCGGTGGGGGTGGGGGGCTGACTCCTCTCAAACCCTGTATGACACTAGAGAAGGCGACTGAGAAGACAGGGCTGCCTACCTTGGGGTCCCCAAGGACAAGATTAATGGGCTCCAGAGTGAAGCAGAGGGGGCTTTTACCTGAGCTTTGGTGGGACAGGTCTCTTCCAGGAAGCCCAGCCTTCCTGCCTTTGTCCGCCTCCTGTCCCCTACCTCTGAGCCTCTGTCCACTCCTGGAAAGCAGCCTGCAGAGTGCTTTTGTGTTCATTTTCGTTTTTAAGTGTAGTCAGCAAAGCCTACCTCTGAAGCAAAGGTCTTTATCACCGTTGGAGAGAGGAGAAAGCGGGGGCTTGGAGGGGGTCGGTGCCTCGGGATACCTAGGGCTGTCTGGCAGGGTCACCAGGGCCACGTCCAAGGGCTGGGTTACTCGGCTGAGCATCTGCTATGTGACCGTGGCACGAGAGCCCCCCTATGAGGGTACGTTGGATCGGGTGCTTGGTGTTCCTCTGGGGCCTGGCAGGGAGTGAGGGGCCCGAGGAGGGTCTGTCTACTCCCCTGTCGGGACCTGCCCCGAGGTGGGGCCTCGCTCTGGCTGCAGGGTCCCGCCTTCCGCCAGGCAGGGACCGACTGCCCCCCCTTCTCTTGTTCTTTCCTCCCCGTGCCCCGCCACCCGCCCGCGGGCATTCACGCCCACATCCACACACTCGGCCCCCATCTGCTCCGTCCCCTCAGCCCTGTGATCGTGGAGATTCCCCACTTTGCCTCCCATGGCCGTGGGGACCGTGAGCTCGTGGTGCTGCGCAGTGAAAACGGCTCCGTGTGGAAAGAACACAAGAGCCGCTACGGAGAAAGCTACCTGGATCAGATCCTCAACGGGATGGACGAAGGTAACGGGACCCCGGGGATCCCAGAGCAGGGCGTCCTCCTTCCAGAAGGTGGGACTGGAGCTTGCAATTTTGGGGTGGGTTGTTGCGGCTACCCGGAGTTTGGGACGGCCAGAGAGAACGGGGCTGGCCCCATCGGGTCCAGTTCCAGGTCCCTGGGGCAGCTGAGGGGGTGCGGCTGGGTGCCTGGGGAGGGGCGAACATCAGGAGCCAGGGGTGAGGAGGCTCTGGGGACACAGTGGTCGAGCCTGCAGCCGGCCTGACGGCACGACCGGGGCGGGTGGCATCGTGCCGTGTGATTCCAGAGCTGGGGAGTCTGGAGGAGCTGGAGAAGAAGAGGGTCTGCCGCATCATCACCACCGACTTCCCCTTGTACTTCGTGATCATGTCACGGCTCTGCCAGGACTACGACACCATCGGCCCTGAAGGGGGCTTTCTGAAGAGCAAGCTGGTCCCTCTGGTGCAGGCAACGTTCCCAGAAAATGCCGTCACCAAGAGAGTGAAGCTGGCTCTGCAGGTGACACAGCCCTCCCTCCTCGCCAGTTGGGACATCCCCCCCAACTCAGAGTTCGTGGACGGTGGGAGGAATTCAAGGCGCCCTGAAGGACGAGCCTCTTCCCTAGCACATCCCCCACTTTTGTCCAATGCCTTAAAATCTCAGTTAGAGATGTGACTTGAAAGCTCAGAAGAAAGGTGGCTGAGTGGGATAGAGTGGGCCCTCCCTGGTAAGTGGCAGGAAGCCCCAGATGTCGCATTAAACCACAAGGCTGGCACGTGCACGCGCGCAATGGGAGAGAATTCCACAGGGCGTCCTGGAGGGGTAACCAATGGTGAGCAAGGGTGGTGCCGGCCAGAGAATAGGGGGCAGCAGGGGAGGGGGAGGAAGGGCTCCAGAAAGAGAGCTGAGCAGTGACGTCAGCCCTGGGACGGGCCTGTGCGCAGCAAAACAGATCCGCGTGGTGCAACAATGGAAGGACCCCCGCCCCCGGGAGCCTTTGCCCTCTGCGTGAACAGCCTGCTCTCCCTTTGGGGACACTCTGCCCCTCGTGAACGAGCCCCTCTGCTGCTCGAGGCTGAGTGCCCGCCCTTGCCACCTCGCAGGCCCAGCCTGTGCCTGATGAGCTCGTCACCAAACTCCTGGGCAACCAGGCCACCTTCAGCCCCATCGTCACCGTGGAGCCACGGCGCCGGAAGTTCTACCGCCCCATCGGCCTTCGGATCCCACTCCCTCCTTCCTGGACGGACAACCCGAGGGACAGCGGGGAGGGGGACACCACCAGCCTGCGCCTGCTCTGCAGTGTCACTGGTGAGACGTGGCCCTGTTCCATCTTCGGGGCAGCAGCGGCTCCTCCTGGCCACGTTAAGGGGAGACAGGAGAAGGGGAAGCCAGCCGTCACCCTGCTTTGGCTTCCCTCGGCCATGTGCTCTTTGAAGGGAGCGAAGGGAGCGCGAGGGGGAGTCCTCCGCGGAATAGCTCAAGGAGGGGGAGAGCATGAGAGAAGAGGTGTGCTCTGGGCCACACAGACCTGCCCGGCTCTGCCCCTCCTTGCTCAGCCCTTGGCATCTGGGCAAGCTGTGTGTCTGCCCCCTGAACGCTGTCCCCCGGCCCGCCTCTGCCCCTGTTGTAGGAGGAACAGACCAAGCCCAGTGGGAGGACATAACAGGGACAACCAAGCTCGTGTATGCCAACGAGTGTGCTGCCTTCACCACCAACGTCTCTGCCAGGTGAGCCCCGCACCGAGGGGTCAGCGCTGCCCCTGCTCGGGCCTCATCCCCATGCCTCGACCCGCCCACCCTGGGCTCGAGCCTCAGTGCCCCCCGCAGCCCTTTCCCACACAGAAACCCCCACCCTGACCACCGCTGCAGCCGTCCGCATGGCTTACGGGCTCCTTCTGTTTGCGCGGACATGAGGCGCTCCATCCGGCACGTAGGAACGTGCTTATAATCAGCCCTCTCTTTTTAGGTTTTGGCTGTCGGACTGTCCTCGGACTGCTGAGGCTGTCAACTTCGCCACCCTGCTTTACAAGGAGCTCACCGCGGTGCCCTACATGGCCAAGTTTGTCATTTTTGCCAAGATGAATGACCCCCGGGAAGGGCGCCTCCGCTGCTACTGCATGACGGACGATAAAGTGGACAAGACCCTGGAGCAGCATGAGAACTTCATCGAGGTGGCTCGGAGCAGGGACATAGAGGTACCAGGGCTGGATGTACTGTGAGAAGTGCTTGACTAGCATAGTCTCCCCTGGTCCTCATACCTGTGTGTGCTTTTCTCATCCCCGGTTCACAGATGAGGGCACCGGGGCTGAGAGAGGCTAAGTAACCTGCCCAAGGTCACATGACCAAGTAGAGGGTAGAAGAAGGATTTGTCCAAGTAGTCTGACCCCAGAGCCCACAGTTTTACCAATATGCCAGGGTTCTGGGAACGTCCCAATGAAGCAGGGAGGGCGGCTGGACAAACGAGGTGAGGAACGGGGACTGGATTTGAACCTATTACTGACCCTAGGAGACTTATCATGTCAAAACATGAAAGAAGCCAGGCACCTTTCCAAAAGTCTGGTCTCAGAGTCTGTTCTGAGACTTCTTGGGGTGCTGAGGGCCCAGAACGAAAAGCACAAGGCTGGAACTCTGGAGCCCTACCCCTAATCCTGATTCAGGGACTAACTAGACCAAGCACTTATTCTCTTTGGGCCTCAATTTCCATAATTGTCAAATGGGTTCATGGTAACTTCTCAGTTGAAAGCGTTATATACACAATACGGATTCCTATGTTACTGGGTGAGTTTACAATATAACGTGGTCCTTCTCGCACGTCTCATAAACTAAACATTGCAGAACAGGTGTGGAAAGAGATCTAGCTTCTGGGGGGAAGCCATATTTTGATACATTAGTGGAATTCCAGAGTATTCTGATAGTAGTCCTGATCAACCTGACCAACCAGGGTAAAGATTCCTGCTTATTGTAAAATCCTCTGAAGTAAGGGGGCACCTGGGTGGCTCAGTCAGTTGAGGGTCCGACTTCGGCTCAGGTCATGATTTCGCAGTCCATGAGTTTGAACCCCACATCAGGCTCTGTGCTGACATCTCAGAGCCTGGAGCCTGTTTCAGATTCTGTGTCTCCCTCTCCCTCCACCCCTCCCCGACTCGTGCTCTGTCTCTCTGTCTCTCAAAAATAAACATTAAAAAAAAAAATACTCTGAAGGAGGTAAGCATGACTTCCTCATTACAGCCTTGGAAACAAATCCTCTTTCAAAACAAATGGCGGGATGTGCTTCATGCCGAAGAATGAGTATGATCTGGCAAAGGAATGACCACAGCTGAAGGCAGGACAGGACATTTGCTTTCCTCCTACAGGTTTTGGAAGGAATGCCTCTTTTCGCGGAGCTCTTTGGCAACCTGGTGCCCGTCAAAAAAGCTACCCAGCAACGGAGTTTCCTCTTCCAGTCGTTTCGGGAGAACCGTTTGGCCATACCTGTCAAGGTGCCGATCTCTCCTCTGGGTCTACGAGGTTTGGGAGGCAGAAATCTCCTAAGCCAACCAGCCTGGTGGCCTCTGGAACAGCACCCCCCTGAGTCTTGCTTTTGTGTGGTCGAATTTAGGTGAGGGACAGCAGTCGAGAACCAGCGGGGTCCTTGTCATTTCTCCGCAAGGCGATGAAGTATGAGGACACCCAGCACATTCTCTGCCACCTGAACATCACCATGCCCCCCTGCACCAAGGTGAGCTGCCCACCCCACCACGATGAGGACCCTCGCCAGAGGTGGGGTTTCCCGAGGAGGTCCCGAAGCATACTCAAGGCCGCGTGCTTCCCAAGGACCTCTTCCTGTCACCAAGCTGCCTTTGAAGGCTATCTGCCGTCTTCCGGACAGTTGGCCTTGGCCTGGCAGGGAGAGTGTGCCCTGACCCTTTCTGCAAGGCTAGGACCAAGTGCCAGTGACAGACAGCGGTCTGCGTGTTCTCACTGTGGGTCTTGAGCCCACAAGGATATTCTCCAAGGCTAGAAAGGAGCCCAAATCGCGTCCACCTGGGCACCCCTTGTCTGGGGCCTCTGAGGCTTAGAACTGGGTGTCACATGGCTCACAGTGACCCAGCTGTTTGGTAGGTTTTCGCAGGCCTCTTTGTCATATACTTGCTTATCTTCCCCAGGGTGCCAGGCCCTCAGGGAAGAGAGCCCTGGTGTCTCAGCCACTGCAAACACCCAGATTTTTGAGCTCAGCAAAAGCGTCTTGACCAAGTATGTTGATTTATCCATACCTATAAGAGCATCCGAGTCACGGCTGCACAAGGGACTTTGGAGGGATCATATGTCTCCATGTTCTTGTTGGTGTTTGGCTGCTGTCGTCATTATAATTGTCAGCCTTTCTAGCCCAACTAGGGAGAAAGCAAGGTTACATCCATATGTCATGGCTCGATTTCTCTTTAGTGTCTGGGGCGAACGTGAACCCACTTTCTCTTTCAAAAGAGGATTTCCTGCACGCTGAGCAAATATCTGGGGTGCTAAGCCTTGGACTGGTGCCAAAAATAGGTCTTTTGAGTATAAAGGAACCCAGAAAGAAACACTGGTTTTTAAGTTCAAACCCCAGCCCCGCCACTCATTAGCTGAGCGTCCTGAGGCAAGTTATTTAACCCTCTAGGCCTCAGCGCCCTCAGCGATGAGATGGGAAGTTCCTGCCTAAGGGCTGTTGTGAGCATCAGACAGGGCCTGCCACGTGGTCAGGGCCCCGTGAGCTCGCTGTTACTATTAGTGATAAAGTGTGTGACTCTCGCCACTCCCTCTGGCCCCCACCTCTTGGCACACGTCTGCCCTTTGTGTTGTGGCCCCAGAGACACAGAGCTACTTGCTGTTGGCCAGGACCGGCGTCATGCCCGCCCCGCAGCCCCCAGGCTCCGAGCAGCTTCCCATGGAGGGGGTGGCCCCGAGCCCAAAGCACCCTTTCCTCGTCTTTCGTCTGCAGGGGGCCACACCTGACGACAGGAAGAGGACATTGACGCCCCTGGCCCTGAGATACAGCATCCTCAGCGAATCGTCACTGGGTATGAACCCCTTCGTGATACGTGCTCACTGCCTTCCTGGGAGGTCGTGGGTCACATCACTCCCCCTCCTCCCTGCAAGAGCTCTGCGTAGACGCAATTTCGTTGGCCCATTATGAGCACAGCCCTGGAGACTTTGGCCCCAGTCACCACTGAACACTCACAGGCCAGCGTACACCGAGGTCCGCTCAGGGCCGAAGCATCCACCCGAGGTCATTTACCTGCACCTGCCCACTCTGTGTCCTGCCGAGGCTGTTAAAAGAAACCCGATGCTTCTCCCTAGGTTTTCTCAGTGGGACCGACCGAGCAGATATGAAGATGGCTATTATATCAGAGCACCTTGGCCTCAGCTGGGCGGGTGAGTCGGGGACTGGGGGCAGAAGGCACCTTGCTCGTCTACACACACCCCTCCAGCTCCTTGCGTCTAATGAGCAACCCCTTCTTACCGTCCTTTGTGCATCTGAGGTGTGATTGTCTTGGACAAGCTTGTTGCCCAAGCAGTGCCTTTGGGTAACCGTGGAAAGTAGGCTCCTGCCCGCCTCCATTTCTGCCCAGTTGTTCTTTTTCTGCGTGGTTTTTCTTTATAAGAAAGAATTAACTTTTGAAATCATAAGAGACCTTAGAATTGATCTGGTTCACCTCATTTTACAGACGGGAAAACCGAGACCCACCTAAATAGAGCGGCTCCAGTTGTGTGTCTAGTTAGTGACGGAGCTCTGGAAAACCAGCCAGCAAATAAACACAGGAACAAAAACCTCTGTCTCTATGACTGCCTGCCTCTTGCTCCCTGTACTCACGTTGCCCTTCCTGGAAGGCTGGCTTTGTTGAGGGGAAGGAAGGAAGAAAAAGACAAGTCTCAAAATTATTCACTTGTAATCTCTGGCTGTCCCTGAGGTCTACCAGAAGTCCCACAACAAAAGGGTGGTTCACATCTGAGGTGACACTGTGTGTGGGAAAAATACAAGTAAAGCCCAAAATGCATTTCACTCAATCACAGGACCTATAACTTAACCCTCCTTGTTATATTAGCTTTTATAGGAATGGACTTCCTTTACTCAGTCACCATGTGGACAGGGCTTCAGAGACACTCAGAAGCCTTGGCAATAACTTGTTCAAAGGCTCTGTGACAAAAATTTACAACAGAAATTCAGGAGCCAAAAAAGAATGCCTGCTGCTGCTTCTTGGGTGTGTGTGTGTGTGTGTGTGTGTGTGTGTGTGTGTCTTGTACATGCGTATTCTGATCCTTACTATCACTGTCCCTCTGGTCTTTCTCATCCTTGAAATTAGACTCTGAGGCTGTTCTCCCTTCCCAAAGCACCTGTGAGGAATAACAATAAAAATAATGGGCGGGAAAAAGCTAACATTCTGTGCCGTTGCCTTGCACTTAGATGGGAGCTTGTATTTTCATTTTAAATGTAATTAATGCCTTTCCCTGAAGAAGTGTAAATACAGGAAAGCATTCCCATGATAACCGCTTCCTGGTGGAAAGTTAGTGGCACAGAAGGCACTGGAGTGGGTGTCCACAGCTCAGCCCGCTCCCGGCTTGGGCATTAGCTTATGCTGTGACCTTGGAGAAGCACTGACCTTGCTGAGAGGCTCAGCCGTCATCTAGTATGTGAACTGATGAAAGGAAAGGGCATTCATTCATTCCTTCATTTGTTCTGTACTGATTTTTTGAGCATTCCTATCCCTGCCCTATTTTCTGGAGCTCCGAAGATGTAGGTGTCTATTTGCCTAAGTGCTTCCTGGTAAGAAGGAATCGCAAATCCCTGGGGGCACCGTTCTTTAATTCTCAGTACTCTCCTCAAGCTCCCCCGCCCGCAGCTGTATGGTGCCAGCCTGGGGACCAGAGCCGGCTCGGCGGCTCACACCCAGCCTGCCTTCTTTGCCTGCAGAGCTGGCTCGGGAGCTGCAGTTCAGCGTTGAGGACATCAACAGGATCCGCGTGGAGAACCCCAACTCCCTGCTGGAGCAGAGCGCAGCCTTGTTGAATCTCTGGGTCGTCCGTGAAGGCAAAAACGCAAAGAGTCAGTACCATTAGGCTGAGGAAGCCTTCTCTGTGCAAAGCCTGAGTAGGATGTCCCCTTCACCAGAGCCGCTCTGCCTTCCAGCTCCAGTTGCAATCTTCACCCTGGGAGCCAATCCCTTTTGCCATCTCTGTCTCTGTCTCTGCCTCTCTCTCACACACACACACCTCTCAGGAGGGTCCTGGGGTCCTCTGAGTGATCCTGTCATAGAGAATAGGAGGGTCTTGGCCTTGGCTTTTTCCCCATCCCCCGAATAAGACTAGAGCCACACCAGAACGAGACAACTGCACAGGCGTAGGGTATGTGACGTCTCCTTGAGTTTCTCAGACAAATGAGGACTGTCCCCTCGGAACAGAGCAAATCCTGCCCGATGCAGGAACACCTTTTTCTCCAACCTGGAGGGAAGATTTGTTTCCCCGTTTTCAGCTCTTTCTCAACTAAATTCCCAATCTCAGAAACAGTAAGAGGAAATTGAGTGCCTGCATTTGCATCTCAGATCAACTGGCAAGGACAAAGGATCTCTAAAGGACATTATCCTATTCTCCTCACTCTCATTTCCTGTAGAATTCCCCTCAGGTTACAAAAAACAGTCTTCCCAGGCTTTGCAATCGGTCACCCTTAGGGTTTGGAAAAGATCTGTTGAAGCAAAATCCGCCCGCCCCCCCCCCCACCAGAGGCAGGTGCTTTTGATTCTGACAAAGGAGGGGTGCTGAGAAAGCAAATTCTCCCTGTCCCCCTCTTCCCTCCCTGCTAGTTCTCCGCGCCCCCACAACATTCCCGCACTGCCCAAGAGGATTCGAGCCCCCTCGGCCAGCGCCCCTTCTCCCCCTCTCCCCCTGCAGTGGACAATCTGTACGCAGCCCTGCGCAACATTGACCGGAGTGAGATCGTGAACATGCTGGAGGGCTCGGGCAGACAGAGCCGCAACCTGAAGCCCGACCGGAGGCACAGGGACCGGGACTACTCTTCGTCACCCTCCCAGATGAATGGTGAGTGTCTCCTGGAAGGAGGTGGGGCTGAGCTGGGCGCCACCTCCCAGGCACCAGCATAGGGCGCTTGATGAAGCCATCGCTCCCTCTGGTGGGAGGTTCGGTCTCCGCGAACTGCCTGTCTGGGAGGGACTCTGCTGAGAGCAGAGGCAAGCAAGAGGGATGGGGGAGCACTCCTGTGCAGAGAGCACCCCCCCACTTCCCTCGGCTCCAGGCTCCTGCTGCAGCCCAGGGAAGGGCTGGAGTCGCCCCTACGTGTCCCAGAGGCTCTCCATAGTTCTGTGCCACCAGTGGACCCTCTTGGGGCCTGTGTCCACACCCGTAAATCAATCCATGTAGAGAAGCAAAGGGCATGGAGGTTCTGGCCCCAGATCTGACATGGTGAAGCTGCAGGTTTTTTAGAAGTCCTTCTATAAAGCTAACTGGGCTTCTTTTCTTTGAGTCTGGTCTCTCTGTTTCTCTCCCTCCCTTTTTTCCCACCCCATCTCTTTCCTCTCATTCTTTTTAATGTGCTTCGGCATGGCACAGACCCCCAGTGTGACCAGGCCCTTGGGAGGCAGCCCGGCGGCCCCTAGCCTTTGCCCCTCCCCCCCCCCCACACCCACACAGCAGCCTCCTGTGTGTCATTGTCCTTGCAGCAGCAGTGCAAATGGCTACCTGCATGTAGGAGAGGGGACTGGGGGTCTCTCTGCAGCCACTGGGCACAAACAGAGGCCCCGCTCTTTGGCGCTGTCTCCTCTTCTTTAAAGTCAGCAGGTTAGATCAGCTTCCTAAGATTCCTTACAGACCTTGAAGAAACCATTTTAAGTCTATGAACTGTCTTCCTGTGGTGCCTAAATGCGTCCCCCAGGGCGGCGACATTGTGCTGTCTGCGCTTTCCACGCTGCTAGTCTGCCAGTCGTCCCCAGCCACGCACTCGTGTGTGCATTGGGCGGGCGCCCGTGGCACAGGAAAGTTCTAGGTCAGTGTGGGCACGGGGCCTCCTCTTGCCAGGAGGAGTCTGTGCATGCCAAGCCCCTCACACGTTTCTCTCTCCCGTGCCCTGTGTCCCCTGGAACATGCTGGGGGCAGGGCTCCTCTGTTGATCGCGTCCTGTCGTGTTTCTCTTCTACCTCTGACCTCACCCGGACCTCTAGTCCGCTCATTCTCTCACACTGCCTGTCTCCACTGTCTCCACCTCGGCCGGGTGCTCAGGAGCCGTCCGCCTCCACAGATGCATGTCGCCAAAGACTCCTAGCCCTTCCTCCCCGCGAGTCTCACGGCCGCGTGTGAGGGCGTGTGTGCGCGTGCACGAGTGTGTGTGAGTGCCCGGGGAGTTGTCTCTCACTCTTCAGACCCGGCATAAAGGCTCCAAGACAGTGGCCCCTCCCATGTCCCTCGGGACCGGCCCCGAGCATTGTGGGGACTGCTGAGTAGACCGGTGCCCTCACAGAGGGAGAGAGGGAGGGCAGTTGAGGAAATGCTGAAAACTTCAGGAAACCCAAGTGACAGGAGGCGTCTCCTTTTCTCTGGGATACCTGATCACTTGGTTGGGTTTCTTCATCTGCCCAGTGCTGTTTCTGTCAAGTCAAATCTGCAAGGTTTCGTTTCTCTGTGCCCCAATTATGTACCTAGAGGACACAGGCCTGTAGAATTACTTGTATAAACAAGGAAGTTACGACCATTAAGCATATGTTAAGAAGGTGGATCCCATGTTAAGTGCTCTCCCTACAGTTAAGAAAAAGAATCTACCGCTGGCCGCAGGACTTAACAACTCCAGTCAGGCCTAGAGGGTCAACGGCCTAAGCAGAGTTCAGAATCCCTCTGCGGGACCGGGTCTCTACGTGCTCTGTGATGGCGGCAAGGGGCTCTGTTTTAGTTGGTCTGCAAGTACTTTCTGAGCACCTTCCACAGGCCAGGCGCTGGTCTAGGCAGGGGAGATGAATCAGTTCTCAAACACACACAAAACTCCCCTTAACGCTCCCGCCTCGAGGAGCTTCCCTTCTGTTTGGAGAGTCAAGCAACCGGGTAATAGGTGAGGGGATCCTTGAAAGCGCTCACAGAGGGAGGGAGGGAGGGCAGGCGCAGAGGTCAGAGGGCAACAGGAGGCCAGCCCTTACAGGTGACCCTCAGGACACTGGGTTTACTGGCAGCGAGATATGGAGAGCCGCTGGGGGCTCTGGAGGGAAAGAGGAACATAATCTAAGTTGAGTTTTCAACGGATTCCTCTCCCTGCTTTGTTGATTTTTAGACCGTCACAGACTGAATGCTTCTGTGCTCCCTGGCTTCTCTGTGCGGCCCTGTCACCCCTTCAGAGCCCCCTCTTCAGCAGGTCTGCTGGTGGACGCAGGCTGTGTGCCCTGCACGCATGCTCCCCACCGTGGCCCGAGTAGACACTCATTAGCAGATGGCCAGCCATTTCTGGCACTAAACTGGCTTCTATGTGTTTATCCGGCCCTCTTTCCGGTCCTGGGAAGATGGTTCTGGCCTGGAAAGAAGGAGCAGGAGGGACGAAAGGTAGAAGGGTGGGGAGACAGCAGCCTCCCATGATCCTCCAGTGCCACCCCCCAACCCGGGGGCAGGGGCCCATGGTGGCTTGTCCGGGTGCCTGCCCAGCCCGCTGCACTGACGTCACAGCTGTACCTTGCCTTCTCTGCACTTGACCTCGCTTCTCTGCTTGTCTGAGCCTCCTGATGCAGCCCTGGGGACGAAGGGCAGTTGCTTGAGTCTCCGTGGTGCCAGGGAAACAGAAGCTTGAGGTCTGTTTTCCTTCCTTCCTGACTCCTCTGCCATATACACCTGGCCTGGTCAGAGCAGAAAGGGGCTTAAGTTCAAAGGCCAGTTTTCTTCCCCTACACAAAAGGGGGCTACCCCGAGCCCTCGAGTAATACACATACAGAAAAAAATGCCCATAAAGCCAAAAAAGAAAAAAGAAAAGAAAAGAAAAACATGTTCCTAAAAAAGAAAGCAGATTTCTCATATAAAAGGAAAAAAAAATGGACATCTCACTCCCACACTTGTCAGGTCCATTTGTCTGATAAATTGGACACAGAGTAATGTCTACTTACATTACGATTACAATGTCTACTTACATTACAGCACATGACGATGTGCTCGGGCTTTATAAACATTGCTCTGACTTAATACTAATCCCCACTGGCACTGAGTATGACCACCTACCAAGCTTGTGGGCATGTGGACAGATCGGTGGGTGTCCCCTGCAGACTGAGAGGGAGCAGCGAGGCACACACCCTGAACACTATTTCTAGAGGAGAGGCTCCGGAATAAAGAAAAGGTGGGGAAGTCCTGGGAGAGGGTGTGCATGAGTTCTTTTCATGGACACATTTTATGTGGGTGAAATTCCATTGAGGTAAACACCACGGAAATTTTAAGGAGGAAAAGCCCCAAAGGATACCCAAGAATGAGCCTCTGGTATTCTGTGGCCAGTAGAGCTACCCTCTTCTGGTCCTTATCAGGTCTTACTGAGATTCCTAAAAGTGACAGAATACTCACTTGGCTATTATTTGAGGGGCTTTTTAAGATGCATTCCACTTCTGAGGTGCCTGACTGGCTCAGTGAAGCGTGCGACTCTCAATCTTGGGGTCATGAGTTCAAGCCCCACAGATGGTAAAGAGGTTACTTAAATGGATTTTTAAAAAAACGATGCATTCCACTGCTGGCCAAAATGAGGTAGTAAGGACTGAATATACTCTCCAGCTTAAAACAGCCTACATATATATGTATATATAAAGGGCTAAATGTATGAAATAACGGTTTTCAAGACTTTGGACATCAGTAAACAAAAGGCATTAATCGATGGGACATAGGAAGTAATTGAGGAAAACTCTGTAATTGCTAGTTTCTAGGTCGTGACATAGGGCTGAGAAATCCAAGAAGTTTCCCTGGGTTGAGGAGAAGTTGTTGAGAATCCAGAGAGAAAGGAGCAGCTGGAGTTGCCAAGACACAGAGTGCCTGAGAAGACATAGCTGCTTGAAGAATCTGGAGCTCTTCGGAGGGTCCCCAGCAAGTTTTGGTTGAGTGTTAATCAGCTATTCCTGACAGTCAGGTGGATCATCAGAAACACTGCATAGGGAACAAAAAAGGGCCTTACCTGGAAATGGAGAATAACTAGCCCTACACTGATCAATGCTCCAACTCTGCCTAATCCACCTTGAAAGCAGACCTCAAAAGAATCAGACGGTTTCTAAGTTACTTAACTGCATAACAGAACAAAGCTCAAGAATATCTATAGGAATACAGAAGTATCCAATACCCACCAAGGTAAAATTTACAATGTCTGACATCCAATGAAAGATTACCAGACATACAGAGAGACAGGAAAAATGTGACCCATAATGAAGAGAAAAATCAATCGACACTAAGTCTAAACTGAAATAGATGTTAGAATTAGCATACAAGAATGTTAAAACAGTTATTACAACTGTATTTCAGGTATCCAAAAAGTTAAGGAGAGACATAGAAAATATTTTTAAAAGATTCAAACCAATCTTCTAGAGATGAAACTGTAATGTGTCAGATGAAAGTACACTGAATGGGATTAGACATTACAGAAAAAAAGATTAGGGAATTTGACAACATAGCGATAGAAACTCTTCAAAATGCAACACAGAAAGAAAAAAATTTTTAATGTTTATTTTTGAGAGAAAGAGACACCGAGCATGAGCAGGGAAAGGGCAGAGAGAGGGGGAGACACAGAATCCAAAGAGGGCTTCAGGCTCTGATCTGTCAGCACAGAGACCAAAGCAGGGCTCGAACCCACAAACCATGAGATCATGACTTGAGCCAAAGTTGGATGCTCAACCAACTGAGCCACCCAGGTGCCCCAAGAAAATTTTTTTAAAAGCAGCAATAAGCTATGGGGCAATTTCAAGTGACCTTATATATGTGGAAATAGAGTTCCCAACAGAGAATGGGTGGAAAAGCATTGGAATAAATAAGGGTTGAAAAAATGTCCAAATTTGACAAAGACTATAAGTACACAGATCCAAGAAATTCAGTGA